ATAGAGCCCAAAGACTTTGAGGCTAGTTAGTGGGTATTAAAAATGCAAACCCAACCTATCTTTTCAACCTACTGTGAGTCAAAGTCAAGTCAAGTTAGCCTCCTCACCAACAGCTACAGAGTCCTCAAAGATTCAGTTTTGCCAAACTTATAACCTTAAAATCTTAATAACAAAAACAGTATAGAGAAATCACTCGCCATAAGGTGTGTGCAGAGAGATGAATGATTTATTCAGACAAAAACAGATTTTTGAACCAGGCTGGTATATTTTTTATTTGTATCTAAAGACGGGCTTTTTAGAATTAGTTTGTATGTGGTTTTCTGTGCTTCTTCAGCCAGCTTCAAGTGGACACTCAGGGAACTGCAGCTAGTTACACTTCCATGTAATCTTCATTTATTAAGAATAATGGCTGCTGCTGGATTACTTTGCTACAAAGTTGTCTGTATTGAGCCAAAATCTTTGCGTTACTACTACTTATCCTACTTTCAATAGTTAAAAATACTTGTTATAAAGTATCTGAGTGACTCCAGCGGAACTTTGCACCAAAAATTATGCAAAATGACATATAAATTGCCCAATGCAGCAGAAAAAGCTGCAGAGACCGGCTTGAAAATAATTACCATGCCAAACAACTGAGACCCTGGCTGGCACTGATTAAAATGATCAGAAGGCCTCTGGAAAATGGTTGGTGTTCACTCTGGACATGGTCAGTTCACATGGGATTATATAGACACAGCCATCCTCTGCAATTATTACAAATCAGACATCCACAGGTTATGCTAATCCTGTGTGAAAAGACTTAAAAATTGCATATGTAGACTTAAATGCAGAGCCATTAATTACAGTTAAATCTATATTATGGCCATGACTTCCAGAATTCCATTCCAGCTGATGAGAAAACAGCCCTGTGGAGAAGTGAAGATATAAACGGACAATGCAAAAAAAGACATCAGACAGCAAACAAGATACTTATATGAAGTTATTACCTCAGTCCAGTCTAGAAAGAACAGCATTTGAAGATTAGTCAAGAATTTTGAGTTAAATACTGGAATATTCTGCAAATTTGGTCCAAAAAGCATGAGGTCACACTTTTGCATTATTTACATGTTTTTCTTTGTGAGTTTGTTAAACATGAAGATAACTGATGTCCTGTCTCAGTGATATCTGTAATTAAACAGAAGGCTTAAAATCCAAAGTAAAAAACATACGTATACTCAATAATATTTTCGTTAATCCTGCCCTGACCTTGGTTTATGTACAACAACCACACAGTTTTCAAAGGTCTACAAACTTGCCTGTTAAAGAAGACTAAAATGAACTTTGTATGGGTTTTCTGGGTATTCTAGTAATAGGTTTGCAGAGAGAGGAATGAGTTGAGGGGGCATAACAGTTAAAAAAAAGAGACAGAGAAAAATAGGCTCATGAAAAAGCATTAACAAAAAGGATGATACACACATTTTACAGCCAACAAGAGAACAAAAACAAAGACATGAGAATCAAGGCTCATCGTTTCAGTTATACATGTTTTTATATATCTTGTAATGGTATTTCTACCTGATACAATAAAAGGTAAATAGGGTATTGATTGTGGTCCCCACAGCGATGAGAGACCACATTTAATGGGTTCATAGAGACTGTTTGCTGACTAATAAGTAGTTTAGCGTTGGATATGTGTCCCAGAACTGGGTGGAAAAACCTGATAGGCTACCACAAGAGTAAAGAGGCCCAATGTGGTGGTGGTGTTTTGTTTCACTTAAGACATCAACGAAAGAATACCAAAACCAACGATTCTCAACTACTTCCAGACATACTACATGTCTGATTGTAATTTAATTTGAGATTGGGGGTTACAGCTCAGTGTTTTTCCATCTGGGATTATGAGAAGGAGAACATTTTCAGGTGTCTCCACCGGGCCGTCCAGTCCTCCACCATGAGGGATTACAGAAATAAGGAGTGAGGATGTAGCTGTGATGTCTTGGATATTGCTTCCCGCCGGTACCCGCCACAGCCTCCCTCCCTTACATTTTGTGATTACCTCCGAGCTGCACCCAATCATAATTACAGCGCTGACAGACTCGCCGGAGCCCAGCTGACGACACTGCGCTGCCGTATTGTGGGAAAAAAAAGGCAAAAACTTGATCAGAAGTGGCACAGAGCACATTTTCAAAGGATACTAAAAAGCAGGGAAACAATGTGTTTAGAGAGATAGTGAACATTATGTCCCCAGACTCTGCCAGGCTATTATTCAGCACCAAAGGAAGGCAATTTGATGAGGCAAAAGGTGCGAAGAGCTGCTTTAGATGTGACCACTGAGTCCCAAAGGGGGATTTCTATTCCTCTTCTCACCCCCAGCTGGTTAATCTTCCTCCTCTCCAGAACTTAATAGAGTTCATACTTATTAAAACTGGATGTAAGGGAGAGCTGAGTGGGTCAGAGAGTCCTGCTGAACATATAGTATTCTGTGGGGAACAGGAATAGGGAAAGCAAACCAGACTGATATCTCGGGTACCAGTTTGACATGGACTGATTATTATCATCTGGCTTGAGTATGGATTACTGATTAGAGGACAGAAGGGTCAAATGAATGCTTTCACTATCATTCCCATCCAGTCGATACATGACAGTTTGATTAATTGTGATTCGTTGGTGGAAATACTGTGTGAAGATTCTAACATGGCCGGGAGGATTCTGCAGCTTAAGTCAAAGTCAGATGTGCTCCTTTTAATGTCAGCATGTGTGGGTTTGTTTTCTCTTTGGCTTTGCTGGAGAGGATAAAACAAGTCGAAAGGGACTTTTCCATGAGCACTTCAACAGCTGACATTTGAGCTGAACAGCTTTTTCTAAGTCTGCCCTAAAAGACGAATTAAAAGACAGACAGTCTCCTTATACTCCTGTTGTCAAAGCAGGTTTTAAACACCATCAAATATTTAAGTCAGTTTGGGTTAAAACATGTTTTGAATCAGGGTTGAATCTTAATTTCAGATGAGGCTAAAGCCGGACTGGGAAGGTTGGAGGTGATATAAACTGGGCAAAGCTAGGTGCAGCTGAGAAGACAGGTGGCCTAAATCTGGTCCTGCCGCCTCTGATGATCAAGGGGTGTGGACTGATTCAAGGTTTCCAAAACCTATTATTATTCCAAAAAATCATCTATACAACTGCTTTACTGCTTCCTACGAGGTCTGTTCATCCCTGATCTGGGATTACAAATACTGGACATGTTTATTAGTATTGGTGTTTGACGGAAAACCAGCAAACACCAATAAGACGAGCAGACTGGGGGGTAGGGCTGTCATAGCATCAGATTTTCACCTCATAATAATAGTGGCCACAAAATATCACAATTTACTGCAAACTTAAAAGTGAAGCATAACAATCAGTCAAACTGAGGAAAACAAGTTATAGCTATACCTTATTGTGATTGAGAGCAGATCACAAGTAACTAAGTTGGTATATGCATGTTTATCATGGAAAAATTACATCGCTCCACCTAAACGTCCATTCACAAGACTCTCTGTCTCCTACCATTAGCATAATTCTCTGTTGTGTCACCTACATGTTACAGTCGCTGATCCAACATCGGCCCTGAAAGCAGTTTCTTCCACTCTGCCAGGTCACACAAGTAAATCTCAGACGTGTGGCGCACGTTTGATGCACATTCAAGGACTGTGAAGGGTTCGTGGTGTGTTTAATGCCACCTGCTCATCTCAGCAGCTACATGTGAACTCACTTTAAAGGTTTCTCCTGAGCACCCACTCCAACTTTAATGTCTGGGCTTCTATAATATCCTCCACTCTGAATGTTTTTTACATTTCCTTCTCTCCATAAACTGCAGCTTGTTTTCTGAATGTAAAGTGGAGCGGAATAAGAAGATTGTGTCTCCCTCACGTAAACAGATTGTTGACTACTTACTGCAGCACTCACAATAATGTCTCACTGACTCTACACTTGATTTGAAAAAAGTGTGACATCTGTATTGCCATCTTTTCTATCCAAACAGGGTGGAGAAATAGTGTAGTCGCTCAAATGTGACATTGATTCCCCTGCAGATACAAGATGGACTCACAGGTTATCAAATAATTCATCATATTCAAGTGTGGACATGCCTAACCTTTATTCTGCAGCCAGAGGCTTTCCTGAGTAGGACATGTGCTGCATGATAATCTGTTCTCATTGCACTTTGCAGCACTGTCAGAGCCTCCTCATCCCTCTTCTGGTGGCTGACTGCCACTGTGTGGTCATAAATATTTAATACACTTCTGCTGCAGTTACCCTTAAACTCTTTCACTTTAAAAGCCTGGAGGAATTAGATTCCCACAGCCGACTTATCAAACAGCAACAGTAATATCATAAACTGTGAGAAAGACTGAAGATAAAGAGGGAATATTTAATGTAAGTCTCTTATTGTTTTCTTCCAGAAACCTGAGACCCTTTCCACCTGAACTCTAATCTTGTCTTGTGGGCAAAAAAATTCAATCTACCTCGGCAAAAACAATTTTGTTGCAGCAAGATGGCAGCCTCCGTCATCCATCATCACTGCAGAAAAAAAAGACGCCTTTAACACTCTGATAAAAGCAGCTACTGGCAGAGGACTGCTGTGTGTGTGTTCCTGAGCCCATTTTGTTGTTTGGTGTATTTTGCTCCATTACCTTGCAAAGAGTGTCACGCAGTGACAGTTTGGCCAGCGTGGTGCAGAGTTGTGACATTTAGATTGCGATTGAAACTAGCTTTTTTTTAAATGTCCTTTTTAAGGCATCAACTTTCAGCAATAGTAATCCATCAGAGCAGAAATTTTAGAGAGTCTGTAAGGGTGTCATTTTATACCTGAGCTGTGGGAAATACTAGAAACATATGCAACAAAGTCTTATTACGATCATGAGTTTGCAGAGTTTTCCCTGCAGCCACATGCTCCTCTGTTGCTGTGAAAGTTAAGAAAGTTAAACTAATGCAAACAAGATCTCAGATAGACAACTTATGAAAGGATAAGTTACTGATAATTTTCTTTAATTGTACAGATCATGTGCCGGTGACACAGGCAACACACTGCGGTGGTATGAAAGTCCGTACACGGGGCTCATCCTGGCGTGCTGGAAGCTCTCCACTTTGCCAAACTGCCGCAGGTAGAAGAGAAGGGTCAGCTTTCGAGTCATGGTCCTGAGGGCCAGGAAGGAGGCCAGGATCTCTGCCAGCAGGAAGACGAGGTAGAGGGAGTGGACAGCTCTCTCCAGAGGCAGGATGATAATTCCTTCATCGGTCAGGAAGAAGAGCAGCACCGGCAGCTGGAACATGAAAGACAGGAGCCAGAAGGCCGCCAGCTCCGGTACCTGATAACAGGGAAGGAGAGGAGGCGGAGAGATGGTTAGGTCAAATTATGAGTCAAAGATAGAGCAGGCAGGTCATTATTAAATTTGCACAGCTGCCGCGCTCAAGGTGGGGAGCTAAAAAACTGTTTTATCAAAGTTGTGTTTTTCTGTTTATGTCGAAAGTTGTACTAAAAAAGGGAAGTTAGCAAATTATAATGATCAGACACCAGCTGGTAAATTACTTGGCACAATTTAATGCTAATATGCATGTAGAGATAGAGATATCTGTTGTTTTTATTTCTAACAACAGGAAGGGTTTTGATGCCTTTAACACTCTCTAAATGTTATGTTAGCATAAGGGCTGTTAATGATGATAACTATTCTATAATAAAATGTTATTATTATCCTGAAAGTTAAATACCCTGTAGTGATTTAATTCATTGAGGGTGGTAATGGTTTTTGATTCTGGCTGCCATCCAACATGAAATAGGTAGTAACCAGTGAACTGGCTGTAGCACCCCTCTGAAGCATGGTCAAAAACTGAAGATTTACTGTGAATTCAAACTCATCATACTCCTCCTCAGGGATGCTAATTCACTGAACATTTACTCTTACAAGCCTCACATTAGCTGCTGTCTGATGGTAGATAAAGGTTATTAAAAATGCTGGTCCACATAAAGTATTGATTGTTGTTCAGACAGTTTTTCAAGGCTAATTGGCTTTTTAGTTGAAACATGAAATTGACTATCTTGCTACATTTTCTACATTAATGACTTATAATTTGAAGCAAAGCAGTACAAGATTATTGCAGCATTTCAGCTTCCTGTCCTAACTCCAAATATGCCAATATCAGTGGAGTTGTTCCCCACACAGATGCACCTTCACACTCTCAGACATAAAGGAGAATACTAATGCAGCCATTCCCTCCCCCTGTGCTATTCAGAAGTCCACAAAAGAGCTGTGCACTGTGTCCCAGACAGGATGCAGCTCTGAATTACCTTTTCTTTGAGGTTTCCGATGTAGCCCAGATAAAGCCGGACCACCTCGATGACTGTGAGGAGGATCATCCCAGTGATGAGGAGGGCCTGGTAGTACCCGGGGAGATAATAGAACTGGGAGTGAAGGAGAGCTGGATGTCAGTGAGTCAGGGAGGTAGAAAAAAGCATCTGTCACTTCTGAACATGTTAGATGTCCTCATTAAAGCTATTACAGTATATTCTGTTTGCACAAGTATGGTTTTCCTGCAGAGCCTTTTCATGGACTGAATCATTTCCTGTGACTGCATGCAGCTAAAAAGTGAGGATGAAAATGTCCTGAAATTAATCAGTATCTCATTTCAAAAATTGCTGTTGACTTGGAGAAGGAAAGTGAGAACAAACACATACAGGATCAAGTTTGTCAAAACTTAAAACTTCAATCAACTCACTGGTAAAGTCTTAAATATTCCAGCGTAAATTTAAGTTATGGTCAAACACACAGTACCACCGAGTTAGACACTCCCTCGAGAGATGAATGTTGCCGACTGCTTGCTTCTCCAGTTATACCAACTTCAGCAACGACCGCACGATAGCAATACACAGCGGTCTACGTCTCACTCGGTGATCGACTCATCAGGGCTCCCCCACAAACAAGCGGCTGTTGGTATAACTAGAGAAGCAAGCAGTCAGCAAGATTCATCTCTTGAGGGGGTGTCTAACTCTGTGTCGTGGTGTGTTAGGCCATAACTTAAATTTACACCGTAATATCCCTTTAAGACTTTACCAGTGAGTTGATTGAATTGAAATGCTTAAAAAAGATTAATTTGAGGTGTTTTCAAGTGACTGACCTTTACTTCCAACATAAAACTTGCAGCAAACCACCAGCAAGGGAAGTAAAACATATTGAAGTAGAGCAGCATCTGCAGGGGAAGATGGGAAACCAGCTCGTTGACCACTGCAAGACAAAAAAAAAAAAAAAACAAACAAACTTGTATCATCATCTTATATTCTTTGTGATGATTTTTATTATTCTATATTATCTGTGAGAAACTTTTTCATTTGGGTTGGTTTTGGCACCCCACTGTGGTCAAAGCAGTGTGTCTTATGTCTTTGCTGATTTTGTCCTGTAAGTGCATTAATTTTTCAAATTTCACATGACTTTGTTTTTAGAAATGTTTGAGTCAATTGAAATTTTTCTATGCATAATGTACAACAAGTCTTGTTTTAGTAGGATATTGTAAATCACAAAAACTGGCATCTGACCCTACATGAGAAATTTTACACACGAGGAACAACAACAGCTTTTGGAGCTGAAATAGATACATCAGTTTTAACAGTTGTATAACCAGCTAAAAATTCTCCAGAGTTTTTAAAATTTTAGATATTGAAATGTAGCAAGATAGTCAATATTTGATATTTGGACACCAGAGAAGTAAGTTAAAGATGTGTTATGTTGAGCAAAATACGCACACAGGTATTTGACCAGTTTATATAAGTTTTAGTTTTGAGAAGTTCATGTGGCGGTTTGCGTAATGTATACAGACAAGGACATTTATACTTTTCCTTTTTACTCTTTCAAGAAATAGATGACATGAAGCACTCACACTTTTGGCAGAAGCATCTTTCAGTAAAATAATCTAAGCAGATGGTCTTTAATCAAATAGACCACTCAACCCGTCTGTAAAATCTGGTGCTGAAGACACCTTCTTTAAAAAAAAAAAAAATTATCATCTTTAAAAAGTGACAAACACTTACACACCACCGTGGTCAATACACAGTAAAATACAGGGAAGAGTATTCTCTTATGCCAAAGATGGCGTTCCCTGCTTCCTTAAACAAAGCATGCTAACATAGCAGGGAGTAGTCTAGCAGCACCACTCTTTAATGCCTGTTCCCCTCTTATGGTTACAATTATGCATTTGAATAAACAGCGAGCTAGTTTGACTGAAAAGACTATTTGATTTATGACAAGTGACCAGCAGGGAGGGCTGCGAAAATAAGTGTTGGCAGAAGGTCTGTCCATCAACTATTATAACCACTGCAGGCTAAGTTTAACTATAATGCATGTACCTGATAGGGTGGCAGTAACAGATGGTGCAAGACAGAGCTACACATCTGCATAAAAACTGCACATTGCTGAACACTATAGAAGTATTGGAGCAGAAACACAGTTTTACTTCAATTCTGTTTGTTGTTGAGCCAGCTAAAGCTGCTCACAGGAGCTTCAGAATAGTTTTTGTTGATCATTCACCTATTCACCTCTAATCTTACTATTGTCCTTTAGCTGTAGATAATGAGTTGAAACAGTGACCCACCGTTGGCGTCCTCCTGCTCCCTGCTGAAGTCGCTGTCTGCTGTCCTGTTGTTGGTGAACACTGAGCCTCCCATGTAGCTCAGGCCCAACTGCAGGTTCTCTGGGACAGGTGAGTAAAACACTGGCATTGTGGGTAAAGCTGCTGACCATGACCAAGCCAAAGAATCAGGAACCGTTACGGTCCAAAACTCTGCTTGTGTCTCTGAGTCTTGCTGCTAATCCTGGCGGTGTGTTAAATCACACAAGTAGACAAATGCATGAAGGCACAGATACAAATGGACACACACAGACGTATGCTGGCAGACAACACTGCTAATCAGATTAGAGGGAGGGGGTGGTGGTGCTGGTGGTGGTGGGGATTAGGCTGAGGCAGCAGCATGGCAGTGTGAGGAACTTAGGAGCCATTTATGAAGCTCAGTCAGTTTGTTTATTGAATTATAGAATTTCACAGAAATTTAAGACGTGTGTGAACAGAGCCAAAATACAATCTAAAGAACTTTATTACTTTTTTCTATTATTTGGACTCAATGTATTTGCTGTGAATTAAGATGTTTTTTTTCTTTTCTTACATCTTAACATTTCCCCAATAATTATATTTTGTGTAAAGGGTGTTATGACAACATGAGGCCTGTGAGGACTGTCCAACAGACTCAATTAAAGCTCCAATGAAGAACTTTCAGTTTGTGCCAATTTTGGCACCTCCTCTAGCCCATATGTCATATTGACTGTTTAATTTCTCACAGTTCCATCCTGCTTTTCAAAGCTCATCGATTCAACCTAATTTTGGTCAGGTTAGTCCCTTTGACATCAGAGACCTCTTTACAAGGAAGACCTTGTCGAGTATGGCAGCAACACAAAGTTTCAACAACTCCAGAAGAAGTCAGCTAAACCATTTGTTTATGGAAAACCTGGCTCTTCAAATCTAGGGATGTGAATACATTCAGATTAACTTAGTTTTGCAGTTTGAAATCCATCTGTTTTTGTTCAAGGCAAAAGGTGCTGCACATCCAAGAGTTTTCTTTCCAAAATCAGATCAGACTTCAGAAACAACAAAAATAGATAGTGTCCAGTGAATGAAGCTGATGTAGTCATCCTTCAGGGTTAAAAGAGAGTAAAGGTAGGTTGGTATTTTTTACAGAATGGATTTATAAATATTTATATATCAGTGAGCAAACTGGCTAGAATCCTTCACATGAGAAGTACATTTTCAATATTTAGTAAGATTATTTGGAAACAAACTGGACATGCTCCTTAAAAGACAGACTGCCAACAATTAAGAGACCATAAGTATTCAAAAGTAGATGCAAACTCATTCATATGAATGTCTTTTTCTTAGATGAATTTGTTTAAATTTTTTTTAAAGTTTAACTTTTTTAAAGTTAAATTTTGCATTTAGACAAGACTGTCAAATTCCTGCAGAAGATGTGAGGAATCTTGAGCGGGTAAGAACCAGAGCAAATGGAGTAGGTGTGCATGAGTATATAAACATAAATATATACACACAAGTTTCTTATAATTGTACATTGCATCCTATATTGTGTTTATCATGTGTACATAACTTTAAATTTAGATATATTTTAGATATATTTTGATCAAATTTAATAAAACAGCTAAAATTTGATATTTTGATAATCAATTACATTGATAACAAGTTAATGCAGTGTATATATATATATATATATATATATATATATATACACTTGAAACAAGAAGAGTATTTTATTTCTCTGTATTTAGAAATAAAATCAAGGATAATTAAAACCTTAAAGCTTGGATGAGAAGTTTTTTTGATGTTGATGAAATAGGCTTAAATTCATGTCAATGCCTTTAGAACATTAGGAACAAGACTGATGAGTCCACTGCTGTTTTTCTTAACTCCTGAAAACCTGTGTGAGGCGATAGGTGTCCAGCAAGCACCGTTTTTACTCTTTCACAAAAAATCTAACAGAAAAGGAAACATTTAGCAGTCAAAGTAAGAATGATAAGATTTTTGTGGCAGAGAGTGCAGCTTAGAACAAGCTGGAAGTTCTTTAAAGGAGCTTTAAATTTGTGTAGGTTTAAAACACTGATGATAATTGAGGTTTATCTTTCAGGAAGCTGAATAATAATAATAAACGATGACTTATGAAGAAAGGATGGCATTGGGTAACTCTGAACGTCCTCCCAGTTATTTTAAGCCTTTGACAATATTGCATCATGCTTCCATTCTGTTTACAATTACTTTTGTTTTTATTACACATTTGAAATAAACAGACATCAACTAATCAATGTTCATTTTGATCTTTCAGCTAACTAACTTCAATAAAGTCCTAAATTTACACACAGTCTCCAATACAGATTATCCAAAACTGCTTATTCTGCTCTGGGTTGCAAGGGGGCGAAGCAGAAACCAGCTGCCACTGGGTGGGGGTCAGGGTCAGGCCTGGACAGAAAACCAGACACACTGACCCTTAGGTCACTTAGAGGCCCCAATTAACCTAACAAGCATAATTCTGGCCTGTAGGGAGAGAGAGTATCCAGAGATCATCAGCTGGAAAACATTGGCATATAGATAAAGTTTCAGCAGAGATCACAAAGTACAATACAAGAGCATATCTGGCAAACATTAACAACCTGAATCCAGTAAATTTGATAGTGTTAAGGCCCTTTTACAGTTATTGTATTATTTGTGTTTGTGCAATAGTTATAGTTTTGAATATACAGTATTTGTACAGATCACATTGAGCTGATCCCATTCACTTTGAAAAATCTTCTTGTGGCCACCAAATATGCCATTTTTGGATCATACAGAGCTATTTCTCTGGTGGAATATAACCTCTCTAATCCTCAGACCTTTTTATGAAGTGTTTTGACACATATGAGTCTTAATATCTGTTCCTCCTCTGACTAGATGTGGTAGAAGTGCGTTTAAGGACTTGAACCTTCTCGCTGTGAGGCAACATTGCCAACCACCCAGCAATTCAGATCAAACTTATTCAAATTTCTGTTTCATGTTTGCGTGCGTGCATCTTCTGTGCTCTGCTTTGTTTGCATTTAAAACGTAGAGATGAAGCACATTAAAAGCATGAATCCACTCAGTCATTTATCTCGGTGTTTTACTGCTTTTTTTAATTTTTATTTATTCTAATCCAGTATACAAACAGAGCAACACAGCAGTGACTAACACTGCATGCTGCACCCGGCCAGCAACTCCTCAGAATGGTGCCTGGCTTTTCTTCAAGGCCTTGGGGCCCCACTCGTCATTAATGCAGACTGGGGTGCAGCAGCAGCATTTGGCCACAGGGTGTCATCACAGCTCGTCCCTGGGAGCTCGCAGGGGGAAGTGCTGGAACTCCTCTGGCACCTCTTCCCCTTTCTGGGACCTCTTGTAGAAACCAAGCGAGTCTAAGAGGCTGCTGATCTCGTCTGACTTCATTTTCTTCACAGGGACCGTCTGCACACAAACAGAAACAATAATAAATGGATAAAATCTGCAGATGTGCAAGGAGAAACTTGAGTCTGCAGACCTACTGTGTGCTCTGATCCCCATTACTTTATGATGCATTAATTCTCTTCTCCAAAATTGGGTTTTTATTAAAACTTGTCCATGCATCGCTGATTTGCAGGCTCCTGCGGCACATTAGTTTTCATTTATTGGTTCAAGAATTTAGCCTCTGAAATAATTCTTCATTTAAAGTCAAATTAAAATCCCACAGCGTGCACATTATAAAACAATAAACTAGTAGTACAAACACAAAGCCACGAGTGTGACAAAAGAAAAACACCTGCCTGTGATTCATGAGAGAAAAGAACAAAAGGAGAAGAAAGACTTTTATTTTGAAATAACAGCCGTGGCTCTTTGTAGAGGAAGATGACAGTCAAAGGGAGGGTCTCATTGTTTTATTCTGGTCTAAATGCAGGTTTAAGAGTTAAAACAAGACAGCAACTCTGGAGAGCTGTAACTTGAAGGCATAAAAGTCTTCAAAAACCTATCAGTATTCATACCAACGATCCAGTTTCAGCACTGGAAAGTAATTCTCAGCTGTCAGAAGGCCTGATTTATCTACTTACTTCCTCCCTTTTTCTCACCATCTGTTATGTCTTTTTGTAACTCTGTCTCACTTTCTCAAACACGCTTGGTTTCCACTTTTTATCCGAGTGAGGATCTGATACCAGAAAACCTCAGAGAGTTTCAACATGAATACGTCTCCACTTTCTGCGAAGATTAACTCCATCTCGGCGCAGACTCACATCTCACCTGTACAACCTCGTCCTTTTCGTTATAGAGGATCAGACGGGGGTTCTTCTCCTCCGATGAATCATACTCCAAGTTGTGGCTGAACGAGGAAAAAAAGGGATCAAGGAGAACAACAGGTAGACATAGGAGAATGAAAGCAAATCCATCTGTCGGGCTATTTTTAAAATCACTTAACATGATTTCATCCTGGACGAGGGGAGTTTTGGAAAGCTCTTGGAGCTGGCAGCAGATCTGGCAACTTGCTGGAAACATTGTTTTGCTTAAAAAGGAGGTCATGAGAAAGTCTGTAGAGCTTTTTTTGTTATGAAGGAGAAGTCACTTTTTACCAACAAAAGAGCACAAGGATACTACAAAGCCCAGCGCTCCAGGAGGAAATGATGGAGCTCAGGCATTTTCTTTATGCCTCATCCGACCACACTGGGAGCCTGCAGGGACAATAACACATGGCTGTTACAACAGCGTGACAAAATAGTGTTTGAACACGTCGTCTTTTTGTGATCAGAGTTGCCAGAAATAGGTTTGGAGTCTCTGAGGAGTACACACTGACATGACAGCACAGGGCCTCTCCCTCATCTCACTCAGTTTATTTCTCATGGGCCTGATGAACCCTGATATCACCAAGTCCACTGTGCTTCTCTTACAACCTATGCCTTGAATTTAAAAACTGATTATGTGTTTATTTTTCAGACTGATATGGGCAGATCATTTACAATATAAAGAAGTGATGATTATACAAAAAAAAAAAGAAAGAATACTGTCATACACATTTTGCGGTTGAAAATAGTGACTTTTTTTAAAGGTTGCACCAACTAAAGAGAGAAAGAGACTCTGGTACCTTATGACCCCCTCTAGTGGTTAGCCTGTTGAAAATCCATTTAGTTTAATTCAATGCAGTTCAGCTCAGTTTAGTTTAAGCCTAGTCCTAACAATTCAAGTTGGTTCAAGTGAATCAAATCGAGATTCAATCAATTAAATCAATACAATTCAATTCAATTCAATTCAAATCAAGTCAGTTTAACATAAGTCAAGTCCTGGAAATTGATTTATATCCAAGTCAAATGAGGTCAGTTTGCTTCAATCAAGTTCAATTAATTCAATTTAAGTCCATTAAAGTTAAATCAAGTCAGTTCAGAATAATTCAGATGAACTCAAGTCATGTCAAGGAACCCCAGTTCAAGCAATGTGTAGTCCATTTAGTATCATCCAGTCCAAGTTAAGTCTATTCAAGTCCAATTGGAGTTTTTGAATTCAAAAAGTAATTTGAACCAATTCAATACAAATCATCTGAAGTCATGTGAGTTGAGTGAGTTAGCATGATTCAATTTAATTTACGTACTTTCAAGTCAGGTCAGGACAATTCAAGTTAATTTAATTTGATGCAATTTAAGTCAGGTCTGCTCAATATGGTTGAAAACAAAGTAATGCAAGTATTGTCAAGTCAAATCAGTTTAATGTCTAGTAAATTAATTTAAGTCGAGCTCGGAGGAATTTATTTCATTCAAATATTCATGCAAACTCCAAACAAATCTGAGCAGACAAACAACAAGATGTAATGCTGTAATTGTCTAAATTGCTTACATTTTTGCAAACTTTCCAATTATTTGGAGTAAAATGATCAATTTTCATGTTTTTGTTTCTCTTAAGTTTATTTCTGTTTACTCACCAGTAGTTTCCCTCTGGCGATCACAACTTTCTCTTCACCCTCAGTGTCATTTTTTTTGTCTGTTGCTGAAACAGCGAGAGCCAAAGTGAGCACCAAGAAGGCCCACATTTTTATGACCAGTTTCTGTCTTTGGGTGCTTCACCTGATCTAAAACCATCAATTTGTAACTCTTTAATCTATTTTGAAAGCTCCTCACTTTGGACTAAACCATGTCCATTTATAAAAGGGGGAGCAGAGCGCTCCTGGTCTGATTTTTAGACTGTTTTCTGTCATTTTTCACCACCAAGTCCTCCATAAGCTACAAAGTTTGACCTAGCTGGTCTTGTTGCATCTTCTCTTTCTTTAGTTTTTGGTCTGTTTTTCATTTGTAAAAGCTTTGGAGAGACCCCAAGCTTTATGGTTTATTGCTCTTTCCATGTCAGATGTCATTGGAGGTCTACAGCACATCTGCGCTCTTATCACTTTTTCCCATACAGTGAGTATTCAGGTGGCTAACGGCCGCTGAGAGCCAGAGAGACTCTCATGGCTGCAGAAAAAAACATCATTTTAGATACACTTGTACCATGCAGGTATTCATATATGCAGGACCTACACTTACTCACATTTATTGAAGAAAAATTACTTGATAAAAAGTTTTAAGTTCTGCTATTTTAATTTTAAATTAAAAATAGTATAAAAGGGAGCTACCTCCTCAATCTAAAACCCTTTGATTTGTTGTTGATCACTGGTGCCTACCTAAAAACAAGAGCGCTAGAAAAGATAGCTTGTCCAACAGCTAGCTTGAGGTCTAACAGCTAGGTCTCGCTAAAATAAGGCCAACAGCTTGATTACTATGAACAAAATGTGTCTTGTTTAATCAATTTTTACCAAGTCACAAATTTAACAATATAAAAGCAGCCAGAAGGACAGAATCAAGGCTCATTCTGCAAGTATTACAACTTCTTTGCTCAGTAGTAGAAGAGTCCATTGAAAACTTTTTTCCTCATCATGAAGCAAATTATGCGGTAAAAGAGACTGCACACTGATAAGCAGCTTAAATGCGATCATGATGATTAGGATATTGCACTTAAAAAACTTTTCATAGCTTTTTTTTATAGTTTTCTTTTAAATTTGTGTATTATCAAATGCTGACCAACCAAAAAGTTTCTTGGCAGCTCAGATGACAGTAAGTTTTGAAGGTGTGTGTAAAGTAGGAAGGCAGCAGATAAATTATCCTCCTATAGATCAATAAAGCTGTCTGAACTGAATCAAACTTCACATCCTATGATATGCTGCTCTGCTCTAGCAAATATATGTCAAAAATTGATTGAAAAGAAAGGCTTTGAGTTTTTGCTGCAACCACAATTTCAGAATTCTAAAAAACTAAAACTTTGTCATCAAAAATCCAACACGAGAAAACTGGGGCACAAGGAAGGTACTGACAATGATGAAGACCAAGACAACAAACCAGCACAGAGGGAGGGAATGACAAAGACTATATACACACAAAGAAACCAGCAATATCAGAGATAGATGACTCATGATTTATCAAAAAGAAAAAAAAACAGAAAAGGAAGGAAGGAAGGCAAACCGAGGAAGAAAGACTAAAAATACTACAGTAAAATAAATAAGTAAAAAACTCTGAAAACTGAACTCAGGACCCAATCTCACTTCTAGGTGAACCGTCTGTCTCTCAAGCCACTAAAACTCAGGGCTCTATTTTCATGTACGCCAGGGGGGAGGGTGGCGGACCTCGCGCAGTTATATTGTCGTCTGGCGGAGCCCAGCGTACAGCCCGTTTGGTATTTTCGTGGACTGAGGCGCACCGAGATCCGCCAAGCTGGGCGTGGTGGCATGGCAGGGGGAGGTGTCGACAGAATCAGCTGGCGCAGTGACATTTTCGTGCTCACCACTGGCGTGTAAAGTGCGCTGAAAGCTCGCCGATTCAAACCTGGTCAGCTTTCAGCGCAGGCAGAGCACAGCTGGTCTAGTGGTATTTTGGTAGACCGGCGGTGTACTGGCGTACGTCACACCTGCCTCACCGGCAGGTTTCCACAGTGTCAGGCACATTTCAGTGCAATAAATAATCAACAACTAATAATCTGAGTCAGCACATACATTTAGATCTATATAGATATATTCTGATCTATATCTGATCTGATGAGCGTGTTTGGCATGCGTTTGGATACACAACCGGACCGAATCAACACAGCTGAAACCGCATTAAATTAAATTTAATATCTTAGACACACATGATGAAGTAAACAAGATATGTAATTCGTCTCCCTCCTTTTCTTTCTTCCTCTTCCTCATATTTCTCGCGCAGCTCCACCTGGACATGTCTCCGTGTCCTCTCCCCGTCCTGAACGGATGATTTGTTTCAGTGCTCAGATGAGTCATTTACTTTAAGCCGAATACAGTATACGAATATTATAGTCAGTTTTGTGGGCCAAATTTATTTTATATGCCAACATCTATGAAAGAAAGAGCCAGGCCATGGAGCGGGATAGGTCATTACGCACAGATGGTTTTATTGCCATTTTTGGAGTTTATGTTGTGATCTGTGCGCTCAACCCACCTTTGTCACATGAGGTTTGAATATATGCAACTTTTTGTTAGTGTCTTTATTTGTGAAAAAGGGTGTTTGTCTTACTAGTGAGTCCAACATTACACACACCAAATCCATCTGTGCTCATATGAGAGAGTGTGGAGGACGCCCTCTGCGGCGTTTACAGCGACACTTGTTGAGAAGCTGCCTTCTGTCGCCATGGTGTGGCATTACTGTCCTCAGACATCTCTTGAGCTCTTTGACTACTCCACGAAAATTATAATACGCCTTGCCGGTGGTGGATTTAAAGGCGAGGAGAGGAGCTGATGTTATTGGTCAATACAGGTCTCGGCTGTATTAAATCTACTCCACGCCCTCTCTCCTCCCTCGCTACGACTTACGCCGCTGGGAGGAGCTGAGTTAGGGAGGGGGGGATACTTACGCTGGGCTGCGCCGCTCACCAAAATACCAAATTGTGCTTGGGAACGCCTTGTCGGCGCGGCGTACCTGACTTACGCCGTGCATGCGCCGCGTCGCCGGCAAGGCACGAAAATAGAGTCCTCAGTGTTAGCTAAGTGTTAGCAAGCTAGCTGCTAATGTTAGATGCCAGACCTCAAGCACAGAGTGATGTTTCTCTGAAAATGATTCCTGTTATAACTGATTTGGAGTTTGGATTGATGATTTGGAGATTTGTGAAAGCCTAAAAGTTGAGCCACAGAGCCACAGCTAGCCTAGAGGACTGCTGAATTAGCAGTAATTCTGTTCAGGACTGTAAGCCAAACTTCAACATGCAAAGATGCTACAAAAAATGGTCTTAAAAGAAAAATAATTAGAACAGCAAACTTTTGATTCTTATAGGTGTCTTTGAGTATCACTAAGTGTAGCCCATGTTATGTTTAATTGTTGAAAGCTGAGGTGAGTGCTGGATGCTAATTTATCTGATGATGTTTCTTAACTTAGTCTACTTCTGTGTGATATCAAACCTTATGACAGTGCTGCACATTTGCACAGGGTTAACACCCTGCAAGAAAGAAACACCCCCCCTCTCTAAGTTTACCCAAGGCTTCTGTGATGTGGAAAAAAAAAAAAGCTAATACACCAGGTCACCACAAGAGAGCGAGAGCACCCGCATGTGCATTATCAGGGAGTTTGGCGGGTAAAATGTAACTCCAAATCCTCGCCACAGACAATTATGCTTCCAACTAAAATAAACCATTCCTATGTGGAATGCTGAAGCAGAAACCGTTTTTCTGTCTCCTAAGAGTTCTGCGCTCCATTTTTGTGTCCTTCTGCATGTAGTCTTTCAGATTATGTGTCAAATGGCAGTAAAACAGTCTCCTGTTTTAACAGGGTTTCCTCCCCTCGGCTGCAGTCGTAAATCCGCTTTTCTCTCTGGAGTTTTACGTCTGCATCTTTGTGTTATTTAAAGTTCTCGTCCTGTTTCCCACACTGTGTAACATATCCACCCTGTCAGATCTTAAATTGTTCATTTAGAGAATAAAAACTTGTTGAGAGACGGGGGGACGACACAATGAGCATGGCGTGGGGGGTTGGGGCGATCTCGCTGTATGTGGATGTATACCATATGTGTTCACAATCAGCATGTTTCAGCTTACATCATGTGGCGTGTGCCAGAAAATGGGGATGTTGTTATTATTAATCTGCTGACTGAGGAGGAAAACAGCCATTTATAACCGGGCGAACAGGGAAGGAAAACTTTTACGAAATTTGCAGACTGCAACTTTTTCCAGTAGTTTTGCAAGTTGCAACACTTGCAGCTGGCAGGAGATCAAAAGCGAAAACACCTCACTGTAATCCTGCCTCCCTCAGAGTGGCTTGTTATAAAGACACACACACTTCCTGTTGCTCCAAAGCACCGGATGCTGCCTACCAGCCAGCGGGATGTCAGGCCGGGTGTCTGCTCCGTTATGATGTGCATTTGTGAGACATGTTTGGCTCAAGTTTCCTTGAGTCTAGAAGTGGACGTTTGTATGCATAAGGCAGACTGAGGAAGACAAATAAAAAATGTGTTTGAGTATAAACTGTTATCTCTGAATTGTGTGTGTGTGTTCTTATCTGTCTGGAGCCTCAGGGCAACAGTTGGGGAGCCTGCTGCCTGCTGCGCTGCAGTCTGCTCATAAAAAAGAAGAAGAGGGGCAGTGTTGAAAGAAGTGAGGGCCATGTGGAGGGCGTCATTCAGCCAGAGGACAATGCTAATGAATGTGCTTCACTGTAGACTCCACTGTAAGTGGACATAACCTTATGGAGGTTCAGGTTAAATGTGCATAACATTGTCCTCTCTGAATGGCGAGTGTTGATTTTCCTTCACAATGCTCACAAAAAAAAAAAAAAAATCACAAATCTGCAGGATCAGTTTGCCATGACGCTATTTTTCCAATTTAACTAACAAAAAGAAAATATTTTAAGCAGGATTACTAAGTTTAGCAGCAGAACAGGACCGCAGAGTGAGATGTCTGTGCGTGACATGCAGCTGTAAGCAAATCTACAGCTCATGCAGTGAACGAGAACGTCACTGAGTTTGATTTAGCTTGTGGTCGGCTCTAACCTACGACCCAAAATAAGTGGCTCCAGTTTTCCCCACACAGTCAGAGAGGCTGACGGCCTTGGCAGCGAAACTCTGCTGCACACGGGACAATTCACTGCCAGTGACCTTGTTTTTAAGTGAATCTATTGTGAAGAAGGTTAAAAAGAGAGAGGGGGATTCTGGTTTCATGGTGCAGTACGTGAAACAGTACTTGACATCTCCTCTTGGAGTTGGACTGTAAATGGGTTCATTAGAGTAAAGTATGTAGTGACATTTGGCTGCAGACATGGACGTGTAAGGTCTCTGAATACTCATTATGGAGAGTGTATGTATGTGTCCGCATGGTAAAGGGGATGAAAGATTTACATTTATTAAAGACCATCTGGCTCATTAAGAAAACATGATGAAACATGGACTTAATTAGCAATGATAATGATCTTTTTGAGTACCCTCAAAAAAAAAAAAAAAAAGAATTGCAAAAGCTCAGACTCCACTGGAGCTGGATGTTCAGTTACTTACAGGAATTCAGAGTCTAGAGTCAGATGATTTCAAAAAGCTTCAAAAGTTTTATCACCTGAAATTGGGATCATTAAAAGAAGTAAAAATATTTATTTAGAAAAATATGGTTAATAGAAAAAAAGTTATTGTGGTTTATTACTCTTGGGACCAGGAATGTCAAAAGTATCGAGGTATTCTTCAGACATTACTCTGAAAATGTGGTTCAAGTTCACGGCAAAGCCAGAGGGTCACAAACTTTGATAGTTTATTCTCTTTGACCGAGACTGTCATAAGTGGTCAATGAGTGACATATATTTTTTAATGTGATTCATAAACTTGTAAGTTGGAAGTTTAGAGGAATACAAAAATTATTGTGATTTATCCACTTGAAACCACTAATATCATTAGTGGTATAGTTATTTATACATATTTTTGATGATGTGGTTCATGGGTGTGCTAATGGGAAGGTCGGACATGTGCAGAGGTTTTCATGGTTTATTCTCTTGAGACCAGAAGTGTCATGAGTAGTCTATATATTTGCCTTCAGAAATGGGATTACTTTTGATGCTGTGAGGAAAGTAAGAAGATTGCAAGACTTAAATGGTTCATCTTCTGGGAACCAAGAATGTCATTAGTGGTACAAATATTTCAATGTTTTTTTAAAACTGCGTTTCACAGATATGAAAATGGAAATTTTGGATTATAAATTATTATGATGGATCGTCCCCCTGGGAGCAGGCATGTCATCAGCGGTCAGTTTATAAATCTTCATCTTTAGAGATGTGGTTCATTCATAAGCTGGTGAGCAGGACAGAGGACTGAAACACTAAAATGATTCACTCTCTTGGAACCAAGACTGTCACTGGTGGTCTTTGTATTTAAAATCATTTTTTAAAATATGGTTTTAAGATATGCTTTTAGGGAGATCAGGAGAATGCAGAAGTTAATGCAGGAAGCAGTTTATATTTTTACATACTGTATATTCAAAAAGCGGCTCATAAATACATCTGTTGAAATGTTAGAGGATTACAAAAGTCCTCATGGATTGTCCTCTCAGGACCAGGAATATCCTTTGTGTTCAGTGAAATCATACATCGTTATAAAAGGGGATTAACTGAAGTCCAGAGGATTAAAAAATGTATCACTGTTCATCCTCTAAAGACTATGAACATCAACATTTAGACACTCAGATAACTCAATAACGGTTTTGCCCACTGATTCCCTAGAGGAAAATTTTCACAAAAGTTCTCAGGGCTCATCCTTTGAGGATTAAGAGCACTTGTTAAACATATCATGACAGTTCATCCAACATTTGTTAAATTCTCTCAGATTAGCATTGTTGCTATTAGGAGGATCTCAAATGACTGGAAATTAATTACTGATAATTATTTCCCCCGTTAATTTGGTGCTAATATCTTTTAAAATTGTGCGAATCACGGAGAGCACACTTTATTTTGGAGTTAAAATCTGTAGAAGATATATTTCTAGTATTTTTTTAATAATGTCAAATCCACTGTTGGCCTTTTGACCACTTGTACTGTGCTCATGAATTTCATCTAGCTGGGTTCATATGACCCCGCTGGAGTGTACTTGTGAAAATCATTGATGCTTCACACCCTCATCCTGACCTCTGACCTCCAAAGAGGTTAGTAAATCAACAGAGAGTTTCCCCGCGGAGGCTGAGTAAGGATCACATTGCTGAATCGACAACAAACAAAACTCTTGTGTCTTCTGCGGTCTCACTGCAGAGCCACGACAGTGTTTCACGATTTAGCAAGGCGAGCATATTTTCAGGAACAGAGCAGTGACAGCTCGCCGCTTCTGGCACAATATGTAGGTCAAGCAGGAAGAATTTCACGGTGTTTACATATCCAAACAGGGCGCAGAAGAAGCTGATAGATGGGGCTGGTAGGGGCATCGAGGCGGATGTGAAGGTTTGCCGTATAAAGGTGGGAAGGCAACAGAGAGATTTGCACTGGTGGATGTCCAGTTGCAGGCCACATCAGAGGAGGTGAAGGGGGGGCAAAAGCAGACAGCAAAAGCTGCTCCCCTCCCTCTAATCTGTGCCGGGGTAATCAGAAACACATGGCTCCCCATAATGGCTCCAGTGTTGTCCTGAGAAGTAGAACAGGGCTGCGAGGGTCACATACACACCAGCACACAGCCACAGCGGCGGTAAATATACAGCAAACACTTCCTTTCACATGCCAGCGCTCTCACAGGCAGATACCGCCCAGTTTTATCGGAGTTAAAGCAGCTTTTTGTTGCAGTTTAAAAAGTGTGTCAAATAAAAAAAGAAGTGTGAATAATCCCGACCTCTGAGTCACGAAAGACTCGATAAAACAAATCAGATGCAGTTTTAAAAACAGGGAACTGTTTCTTCTGGCGTGAGCTAAGTAACTCTGCACGACATATGTTTCTGTGACTGTCTTTGGCAAAACATTTAAGGTGAAAGTTTGCGTCTCATTCAACAAATCTGCTGTACTCCACAGTTCATCGGTCACAGACAGGACTGATTGTCGGGACAGTCGGGGTTCAGTGCATGAAAACATTAAGCCCTCTGCTTATTTTCCTTTGGTTTGGGCAGACACATAAGGTCTTGTGATCATTTTCCGTCCCAATATCTAGAGGAAAGCAGCAGCTCTCTCTTTCTTTGCTGCTCCAGGTTGAAATGAACGAAAAGCAAAAAAAAAAAGGAAAGAGGGAAAAAAAGTTTGGGTCAGCTTGTGGAATTATGTGAAAGCTGAAACCTCAAGCCACATTATGAAGTCTGAAGTCCCACTTTACTGCGCAGATAGCGGATGGATGGGTGTGTGAGGGAATAAAGGAAAAGAGGGGGGAGAAATGAGGAAAGAAAGAGAAGGAAAATAGGCTACAGGGAAGGAGACAGGGTTAAAAAAGAAGGATGAGAAGAAGAGGAAAAGAAAGGAAGAGAGAAAGAGCATCTGACTGATCTGCTTTCTATTAGCCGTCCAAATCTTCTCCCCTGATGCACTCGTTCCACAAAATTGTGCTGACAAAGGGGGAAAAATCCAGGGCAATTTGAAGTCCCAGACAACTGTTTGCACACCCCTCCATGAGAAGGGGAAAAAAAGAAGGGGAAAGAAGTCTCCATCTGGATATGGAGAGGAACTTAATTACATTTCTGGCTATTCATATTCATTTGTATCTGAACATTTGAACAAGTAGTCAAGATGAAAAATGTTTGTATTTGTCTTCCAGGAACTTCATGTCCTGATTCTGAGCCGAACAGACGAATTGTTATCCAAAGAAGTAGTTTAGGATGGGACAGACGTAGCAGATCAGTTTGAAGTAATTGTAGATTTTAGCCCTTTATGCTCACTTTAAAGGGCCATTTCATCATTTTCGAAGTGGAGCTGTATGAGTTACATGTCACTGAGTGTATTAGCCCCTTTAATAAGAAACTGTCAGAAGGAACAGGCGGGCACGTATGCTTCCAATTTCAGCAGGTACCACAGGATTTAACTGGTTTTTAGAGACACTGACTCAAGACCTCATCTTAGTTTAAGTTTTGTATTCAGTTTATTTGCTTTCCAACTCACTTCTCTCAAAATTTGCTAAATTACGTGGCCAAGTCGACTGACTGTATGTGTTGAAAATGGTAGCATACGTAGCGTCCTGATAGCGTCTGATAGTTTATACACTTATTACTGACATGTAACCATAGACTGTATAAAGAATGGACAGCGTCTGCCTCCTCGCTGGGTGAAGCCATTCCGAGAACAGCACCCTCTGTTGACGGGCTGCAGTATAGGTCATAAATCCCGCCTCCGCCAGCAAAGCTTATGGAGCTGTAGACAAACTTTAGAAATTTATTACACAGAACATAATTTTTTCTCCCCCCTGCTTGTGATGTTGACATGTAGTTACTGTAAAGACTGGTTTGTGCTCAAGTCCTCTTTTTTTCTGTGAAGCTCAGTTTTTAAAAGTTATTATGGGGTTCATGTTTTCTTTGATTGACACCTGATACAGCCAATTGGCATTCAGGGATTGCGTAGCTCACCCGGTGGATATGCTGTTTGAGCCGAGCGTCATCACAGCAACTCTCCTGCCGAATGCGCACAACGCTACTGCGCAGCGCTGGTTTCAGGAAATGAAGAAAAATCCCGGAAATACCGAGAGTTTTTTGTCTTTAAATTCGTATACAGACAGGAGGCGGAACCAAGTTGTCCATAGTATGTACAGTCTATGCATGTAACTGATACAACCTCACTCAAAAAGAAAAATCCTTAAATGTCCCTTTAATCACAATCGTAATAAGTGGTTTCATCCTGAACTGCAGTTTCCGCTCTTTTGACCTAGTTTCGTCTCTTTACCAGCCCGTCTGACTAAGCATCTCTTTGGGAGGTCGGCTTGTTGTGCGGTTGCTCTTAATTTGTGCATTAAGAGCTGTTTTTTCTGAGCTCCTCGCCACTGTAGGGGAGTTTTGGGTCTTTTATAATGACGGTCTTAAATCGCAGAGTGAGTAGATGTCACTGGAAATCTATAAACACACATTTGATGCTGGCGCTGTTTCTCCTCCCTCCTCCTGGTTGCGCACTGACCTCAGTTCTCAGCGGTTTTGGCTCGAGAAAAGCACCAGCTCCATTTCCAGTAAATGTCATTTCATAGTTACTGCATTTCCACAGGGCTGAGAAACAACATTTAACGTGTAAGGAGGACTGCAATTAGACAGTGTCTCTCGCAGACAGCCAGTCGACAGGGACGGGAGACGAAAACAGAATTTGCAAATCTCCTCTGGTCGCATCTGACGCAACGAAGCAGCCAGGGGAAATGACTGCACTTTAGGAAATTGTGCTGCAACACAGACACATTTCTGTCAGACCCTGCAGCAAAAAGCTACTTTCACTTGTAAATGTCAAAACCTGTTATCTCAGTTGCATTGGCATTTTTCGAGTAGAAGCTTGTGATGTTCTTATATACACTATATGCACTTTAACTTCAGGTTTCCAAAATGAAAAAGAGCCTTTGCACGAGCGTAAGAAAGTGTGTTTATTCCTTCAGTGTATGTTTGAAAACTTGCTGACAGAAGTTGCTTTCTGCATAGTGACTTTTACAAGATTGAAACTCAAAACAAACTAAAGCTTACACTGTTTCCCTCCTTTTACACGAGCACCGGAAACCACTTTCCGCCGTGTCCACAGTGGATTAATATTTTCGACCCCCTTTTTAAAAGTGAAACTTGACCCCGCTGTCTTTCTGCTTTGCATTGCAGAAAATATTTGTCTTTTTCCCCCTCACTCATAAATTTCTTTCTTCCTCTGCTTGCAGGGACTGAAATGGCTACCAGATGTGGCTCCAATCTGTTCCCGTTGCTGTGGTAACCCAGGGACTGGAATAGGTTTTCTGAGTCCAGGGCTCTTGGCTGACTCATAAGGCCCGAGTTTTAGAGCTTCGCTGTTTCTATAGACTTGGCACACTGATAACGCACCAGCTCCAAGTCATGTTTACACTGGCAGCAGACATGTCACTGAACCCCCTTCCCACACTCCGAACCCTGACTCTTTGACCACGCTGTACGCCATCCTGTATAGTCACTCCTTTGTGTTCTCTTGTGTTGCAGCGCCAAAACGAATTTATGTTTCACACGTCAACCTTCAACACCAAGTCAATAAAACAAGCAAAATATTACTCCGAGCTGACTGCAGAGAGAATATGAGAAGGCCAATTCCATAATCATACACAGGCCTCTCCCATTTAAACCCATTCAAAAGCAGCAGGAACAAAAATCCATCACAAGTCCGACACATGCTCAGTCAGCTTATCCTGAAGTGCAGCACCACAGTAACATGCAATTCACACATCCAAGCTGCGACTCTCCCACAACATGTCAAGGATGAAAAGCCGGGGAACATGTGTTGGTGCGCTCAGCTGAGAATCTTCTCCATCTGTGAGTTGAGGACAGGCAGATGGAGGCAGTTGTGTCAACATTCCTCTCCACTCTGGCAATGAATCAGACTTTAAGCCATTGTCACATGAAAAATGACTTTAGAGGAGGAGATTCCAGTGTGGGGGTTGGCTGACAGACACTCAAGGGGAGTTTTAAGGATGATTGATTTGGAGACATTGAAGCTTTTTAGACTGAGCTTAATGAGTATGAAGCTTTAACAGATCAAGTTTAATAACTCTTTACAATAGGACTAATCTATTTACTCTCAGGGCTTTCAACATCGGTCCGTCGGGCCAACATCAACAAGCTACAAGGCTGAAAATGACAATGAGCATACACCGGAGGGCTTTGAGGTGTTTCCTCTGGTGACCAGGACTGCTAACAACGGCCAGGAAACACTAAAGTCTTTGAAATGTGGTTCATGCATACACAAGTGCAAAAGTCAACCTTATCTTGGTTTAGCCCCTTAGAACTATGAATGCCAGTAGAAGAACAGATATTGATACATATTTTTGGAAATGTGGTTCAAAGATACGCTAAATGTTATCATGATTTATCCTCCTGGGAAAAGAAATGAAAGTCAAAGATAGAAGATATTTAGATATAAAGTTTTCCATATATGGTTCATTGATAATGAAGTGTGGGAATGTCATATGACTAGATTGCATAATTTATCATGGTTTACCCTCTTGGGACTTGGAATGTCATTAGATTTAAACATAATCTTACAAAAAGTTTTAAATGTGTGGTAGTTGCGTATGCCAGTTGATAGAAGATTAAAGAAAAAACTTTGTGTGGTTTATCCTCTGGGGACCTGGTATCTTAGAATCTTTAATGATTTATATATATATATATATATATATATATATATATATATTCAAAAATTTTGTTTAGAAGGTTAGGGGATTACATAGGCCATCAGAGTTTATCCTCCTGGGCTCAATCACATCAAAAGAGGTACTGCTATATTTACATATTTTGAAAATGTGGTTTATACAGTGCATCCAGAAAGTATTCATACCACTTCACTTTTTCTACATTTTGTTATGTTACAGCCTTAGTCCAAAATGGATTAAATTCCCCTTTTCCCTCAAAAATTCTACACAAAATAACCCATAATGACAAAGTCCAAAACTTTTTTTTAGAACATTTTGCAAATTTATTAAAAATAAGAACTCTTAAATGTTGCATATACATAAGTATTCACACCCTTTACTCAATACTTGGTCGAAGCACCTTTGGCAGCGATTACAGCCTCCAGTCTTCTTGTGTATGATGCAACAAGCTTGGCACACCCGGATTTGGGGAGTTTCTTCCTTGCACGTCCTCTCAAGCTCAGTGAGGTTGGATGGGCAGTGTCGGTGCATAGATACTTTCAGGTCTTTCCAAAGATGTTCAACCAGGTTCAAGTCTGGGCTCTGGCTGGGCCACTGGCTGGCCAAGGACACTCAGAGACTTGTCCTGAAGCCACTCCTTTGTCTTCTTGGCCATGTGCTTAGGGTCATTGTCATGCTGGAAGATGAAGTGTCGCCCCAGTCTAAGGTCTCGAGCGCTCTGGAGCAGGTTTTCATCAAGGATTTCGATGTACTTAGCTGCATTCATTTTTCCCTCGATTCTGACAAGTCTCCCAGTTCCTGCCGCTGAAAAACATCCCCACAGCATGATGCTGCCACCACCATGCTTCACTGTAGGGATGGTATTGGCGAGGTGGTAAGCGGTGCCGGGTTTCCTCCAACCATGACACTTGGCATTCAGGCCAAAGAGTTCGATCTTCGTTTCATCAGATCAGAGAATTTTGTTTCTCCTGGTCTGTGAGTCCTTCAGGTGCCTTGTAGCAAAGTCCAAGTGGGCTGTCATGTGCTTTTTACTGAGGAGTGGCTTCTGTCTGGCCACTCTACCATAAATGCCTGACTGGTGGAGTGCTGCAGAGATGGTGGTCCTTCTGTAGGGTTCTCCCATCTCCTCAGAGGAACGCTGGAGCTCTGTCAGAGTGACCATCAGGTTCTTGGTCACCTCCCTGACCAAGGCCCTTCTCCCCCGCTTGCTCATTTTGGCTGGGCGGCCAGCTCTAGGAAGAGTCCTGGTGGTTCCAAGTGTCTTCTATTTCTTAATGATGGAGACCACTGTGCTTTTTGGGATTTTCAATGCAGCAGATATTTTTCTGTAACCTTCCCCAGATCTGTGCGCTGATACAACCCTGTTTCGGAGGTCTACAGACAATTCTTTCAACTTCATGGATTGGTTTGTGCTCTGACATGCTCTGTCAGCTGTGGGATCTTACATAGACAGGTGTGGCTTTCCAAATCATGTCCAATCCACTGAATTTGCCACAGGAGGACTGCAATCAAGTTGGAGGAACATTTGAAGGCTGACCAGTGGAAACAGGATGAACCTGAGCTCAATTTTGAGTTTTATAGCAAAGGGTGTGAATACTTATGTATATGCAACATTTGAGTGTCTTATTCTTAATAAATTTACAAAATGTGTTGTGTAGAATTTTTGAGGGAAAAAAAGAAATTTAATCAATTTTGTAATAAGGCTGTAACATAACAAAATGTGGAAAACGTGAAGTGGTATGAATACTTTCCAGATTGCACTGTAGGAATGCAGGTCGGAAGACTATGAGATTTCAAAACTTCTTAAGGTACATTATCTTAGGACCAGGAATGCCATAGGCTGTCAATGTATTTATTGCATATGAATATATTTTAGAATATGACTCATAGATATCCTAGTTGAAAACTAAGAAACTAAAAATATATCATGGTGAATCTTTTGATAAGGAAAGTCAACCTTCAGACATTCAAATAAATGAGTGTGAACCACAGTTAAGCCAGGAGACACTTAATAAGAATCGCAGAACTTCTTAGGGCTCACCCTCAGAGGATCAGTAATGCTTGTTCAACATCTCATTACAGTCCATACAATACTCGAGATATTTCAGCCCAGAACAAGTGACTTTCTTCTCTTGCCACCCTTTAAGCAGTGTTAGATTGGCAACAAAGCATATGTGGAAGTGTCCTAATTCAGATCAACCCCTGACTGTATGACATGTATGTACACAGTAAGATCAACACATGTAGAGGGTGAAGAATCCAAAACAAAGCCACTTTGCCTCCTGGTTCCAATTACCCATCACATGACCTATCCTTGCATCCATATATCCATTCATCCCCTCCTTCATTGCCTTGTGGCCCAATCCTGCTATATCCCTCCGCTCTCCGCCAAAAGAGGACACATATGCAGCGCGTGATTAACTCCTTCGCACAGAGTTTCCACTGTTTTTCCCCCATGAAAGGAGCTCTTGTCCCGCCGTCCTGAGGGAGCCAAAGCACAGTTCCCTGGTTCCCTTCAGGGTCTTTGAAGGGCCGCAGTGACCGAATAACTCTGCAGGACTCCTGCATCGTTCCCGGGACTCTGCAGCCTCATAGTCAAAGGAAAAGGGTCAAATATCAATGAGCGTTTTGATGAATCTGTTTGCAGAACACAATAAGAGGATTATACTGTTTATGACCCGATACATCCTGCTGTTGTTCTAGTTATTGCACACAGACACTGAGAGTAGATGCTATTGAGGTCATGACCTTATCAGAACTAATGAGGTCATACTAAACTAGCGATGATGACTGTCACCGTGAACCAATTAGACAAGTACTGGCTTTAAAAGTTCTTGCTTTTTTATTCCAAAGAAGTAAATGAGGAAACAATGACCATACACATATGTAAATCAAAGAAAAAAAAAAACGTACAGTTGGTTGTTTTGCAGCTTTCAGGCCCTCCTTTTAATAATGCACGGTGAGCCTTTAAAAACAGGCATGGGCCAGTCAGTATTTTTAAAAATGCCATTTCATATTACACAACGTTATGGTTTTAAGGTAAATGCAGGCGTTTTGACAGTGGTATCATAGTTATACTGTACAAACCTTTCTGTATTGGTTATTTCTCATGAGCGGCAACAGTAACCAGGGAAGAGAAGAAAAAGGTTACAGATTTCCTGTGCAGATAGCAATGCCGTATAATTACACTCTGCGTCATACAGTTACACCGACAATAACATCAACAGAGGACAATTACAGAGCCAATGTAACCCTTACAGGAGGATAAGCAATGTACAAAAAAAGCAAACATGAAAGCCAGTTCATTGACACCAAGAAAAACACAAGAACTACAAAGGAAACGTTCATATAAGCACAGCTTACAAAGATCATGAAAAGTACACGATGTATACAAGTAGAAAATGTTGAAAAAATAAAGAAGAAATGTGCTGTACCTTGATAGAAACACATGACAAATTCTCAACTTAGCTTTGAGTGTAAAATATTATTCACGTTTTTTTTTTTTTTGGCACATATACCTACAGTCCATTTTTAAAGCTCAGATTTTGAGTTTGGATAAACTTCAACATTTACTGTAATCTAACTGTAATCAGTTCAAAGATCCCCCCCAGCTTGTGTTTGGTTTACATCTCTTGACACAAACATGACACCGACATTAAGGCAAACGTAGCTTCTTCTGCTTTAACTGATCCACAGTTGAGGCACTCGAGGCATTGTACCATTAGACCTTATCCTGCAACATTACGCTGAAGCACTCAACAACTCCAGCATCAATCTGCTAGCTTAAGATAATTTGATCCTTCATGTTTCAGACAAAAGATAGTACCCCTATGGCATAAACAAGTTCAAAGCTCATGATGATATTGACCTAGTTTCTTGACATAACAGAAAAAAGAAAGGACACGGAGCAACTTCGTTCTGCTGAGAGGATACCTAAAAACTGTCGCTTTAACAAAAGCATTTCTCCTGATTTACAGGACCCAGATTGTCCTGTTGTATGTTTTCTCTAACTACAGCGAAAGGGAATTGGAGATGTTGCTGTAATACAGAGAAACAACTTGTAATTTAAAGCATTACATTAAGCGAGAGCAAAGTATGGCTTGGGGTTTTATTTTTTGCTTTGTGGTTAAGCTGACTAAACAAAACCTATAGCAAGAGCACATGCTGATGATAAGCTGGATTTGAAGTATCAGGATGGTTTTAAACAACCCGTATATGTGAAAAGATGTAAGTGTTCAGGCTCAATGAGGGGGACAATGAAGTCTTGTACTAAGATCGTCACAAAACACGGATATTCATTTTAAATATAATACCAGTTTAAAATGGGATTTGATACCTGTTTGGATAACATGGCAACAAAAAGTACCCTGGGCAACCAAAAGTCAAGCCTGTGCACAGTTGGAGAGAGGAGAGGAGGAAGAGGAGCAAGAGTAGGCAAGAGTGTTTGTGAGCGTCAGAAAAACCAAGGGACGAAGTAAGCATGATAAGCAACCGTGAGCATGAATGAGCAAACGACTGCCAGGCTAAACTGTAACATCGATCCGCTACATAGCATGCAGGAATAGCAACTTCAGTTGCAAGAAAAACAAATCAAGCACCTTCCTGCATGTTTGTGTGGAGGTGTGGACATCCGAACGCAAAGCAATCAGAAAGTAACATCTTATTTCCCTGCTCTGTTTGGTACTATCAAATGTAAAAGTAACAAAATAATGCACATGGTATCCAAAAGGTATCAAAGTGTCAAAAAGACACAAAGCATCAAGTTTTCTTTTGGGCATCAAATCAAATGAATTTAACACTTTCTAATGACGTGGTCTATCAACCCTGAACTTACTCTTCAAACAAAGTGGATGAGTACAAACTAAAGGTGATACAGATTTCTGGAAAATCATATTTAAACTCTTAAAGTGTTGATGACAATCATACGGGAGACAATCATCTGCAAAGAAATGTTCCCTCAGTGAGTGAAACTGTATTGGTCCTTTAAAAAATGAGAGAATAAAGTAGCTTACAATATTCATCAGGTTGAATTTCTGTTGTTTTAGTACCTTTAGTACCTGGGATGAGTGTGAGTACAAATAGCTGTTTTTAATCACCATAGAAATGACACGTATGCAACCTCAAAAGCAATCCATATATAAATATAGTGGTGGATGAATAGAGATGAATAAACTATGGAAATGTCTGTGCACCACTGCTCTCACAGTTGTGTCCTGCTCGGTCACAGATGGGTGGTGTGAGACCGCTTAAGAGTTGTTAAAAATATCTAGAAATAAAATACCTTGGCATATAAAGGTCATTATAGGACTCAATAGGAAATCATTATAGGTCAACAAGACTCACCGATACGACTCAACTGTGCCCATTTTAAAATATTCTCACTCTTGACCGGTCCTGGAGTCATGGCACGCTCAAACAGAAAAAATTCCTTGATTGAAAAATATTTGGTTCACCTTCCGACAAATCCATTAAAGTCTTTTTGAAATCCATCAGAATGTTTATTTCACTACCTGCGGGGGCATAATGGCTGTCTTTGGCTGGGGTGTTTTACTCTCTGATGTTTCCAAAGTTCCCTCCTTGCCTTTCTTCCTGGGTGGCTTTTTTATGGGAGTCTTCTTTGGTGTCGGATCCAACGATGAGTCCCCTGCCTTTGAGCCGTTCAAGTCCTGCTTCTCCGGGCTCTTTGTATCAGGGGTCCCAAGGTCAGTTGCGACGGGCGCCACCATCTTCTGGAGGCTGCTGGAGGTGGGCAGCAGGGGCTTAGTGGAGCCCTGCTGACTAAATCCACCAGAGGGGGTCCTCTTGGCTTTCTGTGGAGGTGTTGGCTTCTCCCGGTTTCCCTTAGGCGTGGAGAGACCGTTGGTCTTTGTCAGACCTGTGCCCTCGTTCCTGTTGATGCTTTGGGTTTTCTCTTTGAGCTGAGCAGCCAGAAGTGTTGCAGCCTCAGAGTTCATGTGAGGGTGGATGACCTTTGGGCTCTTTGGTGGCTCTTTTGGGGTCTCCTTTGGCGTCTCAGCACTCTTCTTCTCAAATGAGGAGGTGTGGAAGTTGCTGATCTTCTTGAGGGCATTTTGAACCACTCCATTGATGTGCTCCATGTGGCTGGGACTGCTGTGCTCGTCCCCAGATTTTTTACCCCACAAGGCTTTGTGTTTGCTCGGGGAGCCATTGACTTCGGCCTCTTTTGCCTCTTGTTTCTTTTGTTGCTTCATTCTCTGCCGCTCCTCGCTCTTGGATGAGCCATCACTTGAGCTCCTCTTTTTCTCTTTTGGCACGGCTAGTGCCTTCATTCCCCCCTGCTGTTCTGGCTGAGGAGACCCTGTGGTATTTCCATGTATCCACGATACCTTGGGCTTCGTGGATGGGTCAGGTGGTCGAGGTTTGGGTTTGCCAGGTGAAGGTGGTGGTTTCCCATTTCTCTTTGCCTCTGGTGTAGGCGTGCCATCCCCATCCTTGCCGCTCCCATCATCCTCTTTGGACTGCTTGGAAAGGCGTGCGATGCGAGCATACAGGGCTGCAGTAGCAGTGGTGGATTCTGAGCCGCTGGTAGATCCTTCACTGTCGGAGGACTTGAGCAGAGGCTGCTCGCTGCCCTCTGGTTTGGTGACGCTGGTGTCTTTCAGGGAGGTGTACTCTCCGGCATCCTCCTCAGTCAGCTCGGCTTCTGGTTTCTCTGCTGCCGGACTGGGGCTTCGCTTCTCTTTGCTTTCATTCACTGTGGAGTCTGTGGATCATTGAAGAGAAATCCAGAGGTATAAGTCAAGGACTGCTCACAATTTAACACCAGTTTATTCTGCTCTCAGTTTCTTGGACATGAAAATTCACAGGTATTAGAAGCTCAACAAATAAAATGGATCATATAATGTGAATACTAAAAAAAAGGGCACATTAGTTTAAATCACTGTCATACAAAGGTGGCATTCGCAGCAGCGGTGCATTGTTCTTATCTGTAAGAAGAACAGTAAAAGCTTATCAGTGCCACTTAATTAGCTTGTCTGCACTTGCATACTTGTGGCTGGAGTGACTTCAGTTCAACAGATCCTATCAATGCATCTCTAACTCCAAACCCTGGTATGATGTTTGCAGTAATTGTTGAGTAAAAGAGGCTTGAAAAAATTGATTAGAAACCCTTGAAGCTTGTGGAGAAGGAGAACTAAATCATGAAAAGACGGCTAGAGTATCCATCAGTCATGCAGCACACATAAAAAATCCCCCTTAAATAGAAACCCAACTTGCACTGTCAGACTTTCAGAATAGAAACTGATGGGATCGGTGTTTTCCACCAAACTTCAAGGAGTTAGTCACTGTTTGGATCTAAGCCATACGCTGACTTGACCATTCCATTTCCTGTTTATACTTTCTTGTCCTCGAAGCAAAACCTGGACTGAGATGGCACATGATAAAGAGGCTATCTCCATAATGAGATTTACAGAAGTGGGTGAGTCACTGACCGGTCACACTGGGGATTTTGAAGTCTTCAGAGAACTAAGTCTAACAGCGTGTGTGTATGTGTGTGTGTGTGTGTGTGTGTGTGTGTGTGTGTAAAGCCTCCCCCATGCCATGGATCTGATTTGTTGTTCCAGATAACTAAACTGTTTATTTATTCTTCCGATGACTCACCTTCATGGGGCACGCAGTAGACCGGCCCTTCATCTCCGCTCTCAAAGGAAGAGAAAGACTCCTGGGATGACCAGGAGGACGGGGAGGGCTGCTCGGCCACTGATGGGGGTTCGATGAAGCTGCAGTTGAAGGTGTTCTCCGGGTCGTGGTGGGCTACTGAGAACAGAAAACAAACGCAGAAGCCAAAAGGTCAGCTGGAGGGTATTGTACCATGTTACAAGAACAACAGTCTGGTCTCACTCGCTCTCTCAGCTGCTGCCGAGTTGTAGTAAGTGTCGGCCTTAAGAAGTCTGAGGAAAAACTGGCTTTTGTTAGCTTTCCATGCAATATAAAAAGGCCCCAACCTGATGAGAGAGTGCACACAGCTACCAGAGATGTGACTGCTATATAAATTAGAAAATTCCGCTTCCCTTGAACTGCAATACAATGACAAAGACCAGCTCGTTATCCTTGTAGACATAAAAATTAAACCGAGTACCAAGCTGAAACCAAGTGCAAGCACAACATTTGCCAAGTTGAGAAAAATAACTCTGATTCTGTGACCTAGAACTTTGTTTGCATGTGTACAAAAGGCCAAAAATGCAAATAAAAAGCCACTTTTTCAGTGTGGATGAGACCTCTCATAGAGTAACTTTCTCTATTGGATACCTCCCCTGCAGCAGTGGTTATGAACACTGAAATTACCATTCAGAAGTAGCCAAAGTCATTACTCTGTTGAACTACCCCCTTAACACTCCTCACCAGAGCTTTAAATGAAGCAGCAACTCTAAAATATGGATCTTCTTTCAAGCTCCCGTGGGTTTTTTGCTTTGCATCAATTTTGGTGCCATCAGTGTGCTGCTTTAGCTGCTTACCTGACAACCTACCCTTTTATCTAAAATCTTCAATCTTGTTGCTAAGGGTCTTGTTTGCTTTGGCATATGTTGTTATGTTGTGTTGAGGCATGAATACAAATTTTGGTCTAATTCATTGACATCAAAAAAATCCTTATAGGAGCTTTAAAGGGATATCTTTCTTGGAGTGGGAAAAGAGCACTGACAGTCTCATCTACTCATTTAGAAAGGAAATATGGACATGCTAGTTTAGCATCACATAAATCGGGAAGCAAGTCTGACAATTGCTGAACAAAATCTTCTTTCCTTACACTCATGCAGCCCTTAAAGGTTTTAAACCATCACTGCAACATAGAGGAGAGTGGGGAAAGATGAGCCATTTTTTATATTTCGGATCATTACATCAAGGCAATCATAATTTTGTCTCTAACTAGTGTAACTGCATATATTTCAAGATGTTGTGTATCCCTGCAAACCAACACAATGAGTGTAAACATAACTGTCTTGATAATATAGCATACCAAAAAAAGTGATCCCCTATGGTCAACTTACCCCATACACAGGGTAAGTTGACCATAGGAGCAGAGTAAGTTCAGCCATATCCCCCATCTCCACCCCAACCCTCCCTCACCTTCTCTCTCCCTAAATACCAGTCACCTCTTCATATTCATGTATTTTTATCTATTATACACTATTCAACTGGTACAATAATTTTTTATATTATTATTGCATATAACTGCTTAAAAGCTGTTTTGTAAAAAGCCATTTTAACATGAGAATGTCTTCTCATGTTAAAAGTGATTTAGAAGATTCACAGCTGTATTTCTGAAAAGAAAAAGTAACACATTTCAACAATCTGAACTGTGACTCTGGCCAAATGGCTCAACTTACCCCAGAACAACTATTATGACTTTAGTAGTCCTCTAAGCTAAAATGGTGGACTTTTATGCTAGGTTTTTGACCTCATGTTGTAGCTCATAGATACCACAATTGATGCATAAAACAAATTTAAAACGATCTTTTTTGGTCTGAACACAATTCTAATTAAACTTATGACAGACTAAATTGACTTTCAACAGTGAAAAATGTTTTTTTGGAGATAAATGTCTAACCCCTTCACCCGTGTGTTTCTAATCTTCACAGACTCCATGAATCGATGCCCATCTCCTAAATATTTGGTCACATGATCAATTTCTTTTACCATTTCCAAGAAACAGGGGGTGGCTCAACTTACCCTTTGGCTCAACTTACCACACTCTCCCTTAAATGCACATTAAAGCACCATCTACATATTGATAAATTGTTGATCCCATTTAGTCATTCTAATATTTGTACATAGAATGGGCAATGTTCTTCCCTGACTGTCTCTTTCTCTCTCTCTCTCTCTCGCGCGCTCTCTCTCTCACCGCCCCCCCACCCAAGACTCTGCCGCATTCTGCTGACCCTTCAGTCTCAGGACAGCTGCGGTTTCTAGGGGATACTTGTGGCTGATCTTCCCATCTGGCGTGAACAGTGCTGTTCTGGCCTAAACTCTGCTGGGCGTTAACTCGACACGACCAACCACATCAGATGCTCCTGTTTATATGCCCGATGACACATGGGTCCGTCTGTTTGTTTAGACCTTGGATAAACCCTTCATGAAGAACTCCACGAAAACTGTACCAGGACCATCGCCAAAGGACAAATACCAGCTTCCTAGAGTCATTTTATTCAGTTGTTACATAAAGATAAGAAACTCTGAGGGATCTGCAGACAGATATTTGACTTGTAGAGGCACTATCAGATAAAGAAACTGTATTTTAACTGTATACTGGCACATGAGGATCATAGACAGTCAGTTTGTGGCATATATGCATTTTTAATACACATCTCAAACATTTAAATATCTCTGCCTGATGATGTGTTCACGTCCTGTCAACATTTACCTGCTAAAAAGGTGTCTTTTTTCTGTTTCATTGTGTTTTTCTGCAGCTTTGCATGTCCACCCGTCTGCCTCACATCATGTTACTCTCTGTATAAATCTTTTTTCTGCTGCTTTCAACAATTTCTCAAACAGCAGCCAGATTTAGTCATAGTCCAATCAGAATTGGGTCAGTGTGTGTGTGTGCCACAGAGCTCTTTTGTGTACTGACATGTTTGTATGAAGCAATATTCAAGGACCATGCTTTGTTTTCTTTCAGTGTAGCAGCTGTGTTTTATCTTGTTGTCCAAATTATAGCTTTTAACAAAAGTTACCACCTCAGATTAAAGATCCGCTTCAGAGAGAGAGGGTTATATTTATGGCTGTGCTGATTGGAAACCGCTGGACTTTCAAAAAAGTTGAACTTTGTGATACTTTTAGAGCAGATAATGTCAACACAGGTGCAACATGTCGACAATAAGAAAGAACAGATGTGTGTTGAAGGGGAGAAAAGGCCAACAATAACAAGCATTTTCATAAGTATGGAGGGGGATTTCCATCCAAGGGCTCATTTATGTGAATATTTTAGGATATCCTGCAAACCAGAGTAGTGCCAACTGACTCTCTCAAAACATGAAGTACATGCTGGGCTGTTGTGGCTACTGACATTTACTAGAAGTTAAACTTGGCACAGCTTTTCTGTTTGTGTTTCTTATTGATGAGAAAACAACTTTCAGTGGTTGTAATAGATTTATAATGATAAATAAGATATGCAGAGGCCAGAAAAGCCATCCACAGGCATAAATGACTGACTGAAACAGAGTCTCTGCTCAACAGATAACAAGAAAAAGATCAAAAATTCTTTTTATGATGTTTTACTTGTAAATATGAAGCCAGTGCATTGAGAAATGTCAAATATCACCTACCCATCTCTGCAGTCATCTAACAGTTACAAATGAAGCTAGCAGAAGACACTGTCTTAAGTATTACAGGCCCTCAGAATAGTACCCTTTGACTACTGCAGCTTCTTACTGGCAGGCCTCCCTGCATGCACTTTCAAACCTCTGCAGATGATCCAGAACACAAAAGCATGTCTGGTCTTTAACCAGTCCAAAACCAGCACATGACACTCTGCTGTTAATCTCTTCACTGGCCTCCAGTTGCAGTTCGCATCAAATTCAGAACTCCACTTCCTGTTTGCCTGCTATGCTCTGCTACCAAAAGCAGCTGGTGCTCCCATCACAACAGGGTTGCAGTCATGATGATGACACAAAAGACTGAAATTCCCTGTACTTATGGCAGTACCTCTGCTTATGTTGTACTAATGCTGAATTTGAGTTACCTCAGAAGGCAGAAGTCCGAGCTGAAAATGAGTCACACCCAGGTTCCAGGCGTTTCAGTTACCAAGTCGGAAAAAAGCTAAATTGAAGGCGGGAACAAGATGGCTACATCTACAAAAAGTTATTTCCCTCATATTCGGACAAGGCAAGCGCTAAAATAACTTTCATAGATGTAGCCATCTTGTTTCTGACTCCAAATTTGCCTTTTTTCAACTTGGTTAATGAAATGCTTGGAACCCGGGTGTGACGTCATTTTCAGCTCGGACTTCTGACTTCTGAGGTAACTCGAATGCAGCATTAGTCTCCATTGTTATTATGTAAGTCTGAATGGGATAACACCCATCATTCACATCTAGGGCTCTATTTTCGTGCCTCGCCAGTGAAGTGGCCGCCGTGCCGACCCAAGCAAAATTTGGTATTTTGGTGAGCGGCGCAGCCCAGTTTAAGTATCCCCCCTCCCTACCTCAGCTCCTCCCAGTGGTGTGAGTCGTAGAGAGGGCATGGAGTGGGTTTAACACAGCCGAGACCTGTTTTTGCCTATCAGAACCACTCCTCTCCTCTCCTTTAAACCCGCCACCGGCAAGGCGTATTACAATTTTCGTTAAGTAGTCGAAGAGATCAAGAGATGTCTGAAGACAGTAATGCCACACGATGGTGACAGAAGGCAGCCCCTCAACAAGTGTCGCTGTAAGCTCTGCAGAGGGTGTCCTCCACACTCTCTCATATGAGCACAGATGGATTTGGTGTGTGTAATGTTGGACCCTCTAGTAAGACAAACACCCTTTTGCTGTGTTGCCGGCGGGCACGAGAATAGAGCCCCTAGTCTTAAATTTGGGCTTTGTTTTCCACCTGTTAAAAAAAAAAAAAAAAAAAAAACAGCAAAGGAAATGTGCAGCTTTAAAAAGGAAACATAAAAAAAAAGTTTGGTGGAACTAAACAATCCATGAATAAATATATTGATGAATAAGTGAGATAATAAATTTAGCTGTTGATGATTGTGATGGAAGTCAGCACAAAGCTTCACTTATTTTGTCTCAAACAGGCCCTAAAAGTTGCCGTTTTTTTTTTTTTTTTTTTAATTCCTAAAATATCAACTTTATCCTCAAAACTGTGACTTTTATTCTCAAAGTGTGTAAATGGTGAAAAATAATGTCCCTCTCCTCTGACCCTCATACTCCTCTCTCCAGCTCTTTTATAGGGCCCTCACTTTGCAGAGGCATTTAGACACGCAGAGCCTCTGAGTAAGTGAGGAATGTAGAGCAGCTCTTCTATGCAAGGCCTTCAATTCAGTTTGTCAACAAGCTGACACATGGGCATTTTGTGACACGACTTGTATGTAGCTGTGAACAACTGCTGCCCTTGAAAGCTGCTCTCTGCAGACTGAGGGTCTAGTGGGGCTGATTGTTCTGCAGACTGGATGCCGCTGTGGTCCCGCCCTACATGGAGGCCGATGCACAACAGGGCATTATTGACACGTCCCAGCTGCACGGCTCCGCCACCACAGTTGCTCGGTGGGGGGATGCATTAGCAGACCTGAGGCAGACCTGAGCTTGGCTGGGACCAGGGGGTTGCTAGTTCAAATGTCTGGTCCAGCTGTGGAAACCTGGGCTTAGAGTGGGGGTGTAGCTTGCCAATGAAAAGAAGAAACAATATGTTTCAGCCTGAAATAGCATGTGTTAGGGTTACAGGATTACATGCAGGGTCTAACACAAATACAGCACACTGAATGGCATCCAACACAGCCAAATCAGAGCCAATGATCCAAACAATGGACATATTCATTTGTGTATGTAATGATAGGGAGGACTGGAGCCTGAGCCCACATTTAATCTAAAGCAGCTTTTAACACTTTTTGTAATAGTGCATGAAGGTAATGAGTTTAGACGTATAGATGTGAGTGTGAGGTTGAGAGCTGCAGATATTCGCAAACTTTCCTCAGATAAACAAAGATAAAAAAGGAGGCGGTGTTGCTCACATCCTCACAGGTGAGGATGTAAGAAATGTCAGTCAGATGTGCGTCCGTTTAGGGTGTGGGGTAAATACGATTTGAATGTAGGCCAAACTACACACCTCAGTTTAACCACAACGGGGAAAAGGTGACAGAGCATTCATGTGGCTGATTCTCCGAGGCTAGCTATGCTAACAGACCAGTAAATGATGTCCTCCTCCCCCCACTTCCCTCCCCTGTTCCTGTTTCATTTTCTTGCCACATCTGTTGCTACTGACCCTGGTGTGGATAAATCACAGTTCTGACACGGGCTGGGGTAAATTTGACCACTTCCTGTTTCCAGCCCCATCGGGCCCCCTCTGGAATGTGTGTGTGCAGGACTGTGTAGCCCCAGTCAGAGTTTGAGTTTCTAAATGTTGGCAGACCATGCTTCTGTGGGTCGCCCTCGACACAAAGCAGAAGAGCAACATTCTGGACTAACCGGAGGCCAGGAGACTCACCCGAGTACTGGTGGATATTAGAGTCTGTTCTTGGGTTGAACTGGTGTTTTTTAGCCTTATTTGATGTTGGAGAAGTCACAGAGTTTTGACTGATAAAGCCTAAAAGTTGTTTGTCTTTCTTAGTGTTTCAAAGAAGTGTCAGAAAAAAGGGTCTTTGAATGGGATGCTGCTGCTTTTCATGCCTCTGGCAAACTGCTGCACGTGGTCCAGCTCTTCCCAAACAAGCGTATTAATATCCCACTCTGCAGAGACAAAGACAACTCTGTCCTACTTTTGTATTATGACTGAGTCATAATTGAGACGGATTCAAGCTAAAAAAATCAGCTGAATAAGTGAGACAGCACATGCTGCTCAGACATGGAAAAGAAATCAGGTCATCATGTTTTAACTCCTTCCACAGCAGAGTGACTTCAGCCCAGGCTGAGGTAGAGTCAGATTACAGCTTACAGGGCTCAGACGGTGCTATGTATCTATATTTTTAACCAATCAATCACCAAGTGTATAAATGTCAGAGAGGAGACAAAGATTTTAACCACAAGTTTGCAGAGCTGGCAGCCAATGATGGGATTGTCAGTCCAGCAGCCCAGAAATTCCACTTACAGTGACATGAAACAGGCGAGAGCAGAAAATCTGAGGAGCTGGCATTATACCAAAGGAGTGAACTAACAATAAAACAGCTTTGAATACAGTCGTTCGTTTCATTTCTGACTAACTCATCAGAGGAATCCTCAGAAATATTAGTCTCCTTCTCTGGGAGGGAAACACAAACGTTTGCACTCTTAGTTTGTGTTCTCTGAGAAGTACAGAGTAGGGATGTTCTGGAGTGACTAGCTTCCTAGCTGTTTATATCAGGACAGGACCCTTAAAAAGAGTAGCCACCTCCACTGTCCCTCCAGGGTGGTCAGACATTGCTCACTTACACCAACAGGACAATTACTTATGAAAGACCAGAAGCAGAATGAAAGCTATCTTAACTTTGAGCACATGCTGCTGTTTCCTGTGCAGACCTGCTGACACCACTCTTACAGTAAACATCACAATTGACTGAAATGGCTCCTCTGAAATAACAACTATTTTCACACTTTAAGCATAAAGATGGATGAAGTTTTAGACTAGATATCAGATGCTTTTAGGAAGGGACCCTCACTCAATGTTTCGGGTCCTGGCCTCGGTTTTAGGAAACCTCTGGTGTAAATAATAATTTGAATTACCATGACTGAATGACTGGCTAGTCCTTGGGTTTGAAAATGCTTGGGGAGCAACCAGTACTGGGCACAAATCTGAGATGATGCAAATTAGAGTGTGGTCACATGCTGCTCTGACGAGAAACAGCTGACATACAACTTCATCTCCAATTTCTAGATCAAATCAATCAGCTTCTTATACAAGATGTGCTAAGAGATACAGTACCTGGTATGTGCTTGTTTACATCTGGGTAGTAGAGCTTTAGAGCATTGTGGTCATTAACCATGGCTCTGGGTAGTTGCTGGTGGCTGTGCAGCTCAAACAACACATGACACATTAAAAGTGCATCTTAAAGCTAGCCTAAGAGGTTTTTAACTTGTTTTCAAACTCAGTGAAAATAGTTTCAACGCCTCCTCTTGAACTACATGAGTAAACAAGATCATCAGAATCAAGATCGATAGTTTTTATTTAGGAAATGTAATGCCTAAAGTCAATCTAAGGGGGTTGGGTGTCAAACTAAAGAAACAGCCTTCAGAACGAAATAATCATGAGTGGCAGGATGGGACTTTTTGGTCAGGAAATACTACCCTGGCTAGTTGGTAAGATGTACATAATGGCCCACAGGGAGGTGCCAAAAGCAGCACCAAAAAGTCCTGACAGGAGCTTTAAACACAAAGAGCCCTAAACAGCTTTGAACAGTCATAAAGCTTTCTGCTGTAAAAAATAAACCAGGGGTCACAAACGGATCTGTCACAGACCACGAAACCTCCACAAGAGCAGCAGCGTCCCCCTAAACAGTGCTGCCTTTGATAGCCTGTCACTCATCACCACCCAGGCCCCCGACAACCATCAGCTCTCTTTTAATAACATGGCCTCCTCAGCCCGAGAAAAGTTTTCTCATTGGGGAAGAAGACGATGGAAACAAGTAAGTAAGAAAATGTGGGGGGAAAAAAGCCCCAGTTTAGGGTTGTAATAATATGAACACATGGCATTTCAGGGTGCCAAGAAAAATAAGGGGCTCTAAAACCAGTGCATTCCTTTCAAATGAAACCCCACACTCCTTGCCTGGCAGCCACCGTCCACTTTTCAACCCTATTCATCTGTAAAAGCAGACTGAGGTAGCACTGACGCAGAAGGATCACTCTGACTGTCACTCATCGCTGTCACTGCCTCCTTTGAAAACATAAAAAAAGCTTCAGCAGCCAGTCACACCACAGATATTATCCTCTGACACCTCCATCATGAGTAAAATCTGTCATACAGCAACACAGTTATGACATGAGCAAAGCTGAGGGGGAACAGAAAAACCCTAGAGAAGAGCTTTCGGATATAATTTTCACCTGACTCTGCATGCCTCTGACTTTTCGCCCCAAATTGAAAATGTTTATTTCTAAAGTAAAACAATCAGAAGTTATTTGCTGATTGTTTCACAGCCGTAACACTCTCAAGAGCTTACAAATACACATGTAGAAATGTGCAAATATGATGGTGCCGAAACTGGTTTCACTTGTAGCTGTGTCTCTCCGCTCTGTCCTCTGTCACAGGCACTATGCCACTAACTGTCCTCATCCACAGGTCAGCATATACTGATGGTTGATGCTTATACAAACAATCACAGAACAGTTTTGCAGATGGCTCATGTATGATGCCAACATCACATTTTTTGGTTTGAGTTTAATAAATGCAACAATTTTCCAATAACACCCATAGTCTCATGCATATTACAAATATACTCTGTTTGTGTGTGTGTGTGTGTTTGTGTGTGTGTGTGTGTGTGTGTGTGTGTGTGTGCGTGCGTGCGTGTGTGTGTGTGTGTGTGTATGTATATATATATATATATATATATATATATATATATATAGTTCTCTGAGCAAGTTACATGTTTTCAATCTTTAGTCTGTAAATCATGGCAGAAATCATATTCAATTGCAGCTGGGTCCCTAGCTACACTGGTCAGTGTAGCTACACTGGTCAGTGTAGCTACACTGACTACGCTGCCTGCAGTGTCTGCAGACATTATTTATTAGTTCTTATAACTGGCTTCATGAGCCAAGATATTGACCGCTGTTGGTTCTCCCGAAATGCCGCTAATCGGCCAGAATTCTGAATTATTAAACCCAAAGAGGTGAACCTTAGATCATATATACACTACATATTTTCAATAAAAAGGATGATTAAGAGTAATTTGAAGAAATTTAGGGTAGTCCTTGGCTAAAATGTGATGATGATTTTCTTTTTGAATGTGCAGGTTAGAAATCAAAAACAACAAAACCAACCAGGAGGTAACTGTCTTGTTGCGACAGTATTGAACTAGGTTTCAGTGCCATTTAATACTGAAACCTGTTTCAATTTCACATCCACATTGGAGTAAATTCAGCTGTCATTAATGATTTTGGTTCATTAATGATTTGGTCTCTCAAATACCCTGAAATGTTCAGCAAACTTTGCTAAAAGCAGAATTTTCCTTCAGAGCTACTTTTAACATGTCTACTGAGACTGAAATTCTCACTTCTCCCTCAGCAAAGATGTTGAATCAGCTCCTCACCTAACTGCATTTACTTTCCTCAGCTGAATCTCTTCTTCTACTTCAAAAATAAAGCGTGTGCTAGTGCCACCAAATGTGTTTTCTTTTGCCACCATCTGATCATGATGAGCTAATGAAGAGCTCAGATTGATGTTTCTTTCGCAGACTGTGTTGAGAGGATGATTACATAAAACTCCAGCAGCTTCTGGCAGCTCTGCGGTGGGATATGAACCAGAGTTTTGGGGCTTACCGACTACTTTGGGCAGTTTCTGTCGCCTCAGTGGAATACGGGGAAGTTTAGTGCTGATTCGGCTGAATCGTCCACACAGGATCCGCTTGGCTTTTTTGCTGTTGGTAGAGGGAGAAAGAAAGAGAGTTGTCTTGGTTGGGATTGAAAATGGATGATGCCATGGAAATCTAAATGAATCATTCAGAGGAGGCATATTAATCTGGCCCTGTGCCTCTTTTTGAGGCTCTGGGGCTGCTTGCACTGTAGTGTCAACACATAAGAAGTCCTCAGAATACAAATGATATGCATTAATTCATAACAACCTAGTACCTGTGAGAAAGACTGCAAAGAAAACACTTTCCTCTGTTTTCCTGACCAGGGTGAGCCTCCCTCAAAAAAACCCAAACTCCCATCATGCACCGCCAAGGTGAAGACACCAATCTGTCACTCACTTGTGGTCGTCTTTGTGCCGGCAGAGGCAGCAGCAGCACAGCAGTGAGAGCAGGACGATCAGCAGAAAGGAGACCAGGGTTCCAGCTGCAATCACACCCATCCGCTGGTTGGGCACTGAAAGAGGAGACGAAAGAGGGAATTATGGGTGTGCCACACAATTCAACAATTCTCGGTCATCACTAACACGACAGATTATTCGAGTGGAGGTGGATACAGATTAATCGAGATGAGGGTTAAGATAACTGTGCATGATCTTTATGAATGACATCATCAACAGATGGAGCAAAGTGCTGCATTAACAATCGATTTTTAATTGCTGCTTGACATGAAGCATCTCTCTGGAAATGAGTTTGCTGAAACAAATTACTTACAATTCATCTTATCTCCCTCTAGACTTCCCACTTACCCTCTCACAGCTGATTCCCAGCAAGCCCCCCTCACCCTCCTCCCCTCTACTTGCACCATAACTCATTGCTGATTTATTAGCACCCCTCCCTCTCCAAGTGGGATACACCCCGGAGATAATAACCCCCGAGTTGCATAAGCATGGACGGCATTTGGCGCTCGCGAGGACAGATGACACCAGCGGAGAGGTAAGCAGTGGTGGTCTGTCACACAAGGCTGAGACGGATTGTGGGACAGTCCTGGGCGTGGCGTGCTGTCACTACTCACAGCTGGATTAAGGAGTGAAATGATCAGGGGGAGGATAAGGTGGAGGTGTCAAAGTTTTATGACATCACTGTCCAGATTTTTCGTGTCCGCTAAGTTTTCTGCTCCACTCTGTCTCTCTTCCAGCTTCTTCTCCCCTCATATGTTCACCATCCCCCTCTTTATGTCTTCCTTCCTTTCTCTCTCTCTCTCTCTCTCTCTCTGGACAGGAACACAGCCAACAAACACAGCCATAAAAAGGACACCGGTCTGGGTCTGGAAACGCTATCAAGGCCTCGCTACGCTCACTCTCCCGCTACAAACACTGACCTGAATAGACGTGTTTGTTGGTACAGCCAACTATGAGACATTTAATACACATGCAGCTCTAGTGGCATCTGGTTCTTTGGACACACAGTTCTCTGCTACGGAGGCAAGAAATGACTGTTTTTGCCTCTGCAAAAGTACATTATTTAGAAAAAGACTTGTTTATGGCGGGCTCGGTAAACAGAAAACAAAATTTTACAGACGTCATAAACACAGAGCGTGTGATTTCTTACATAGCTTGCAAGCGCCAGACACAGGATCACAGTTCTTGTTGTTGCAGGAGCAGGTTTGGTTGCAGTTCACTCCATACTGGCCAGGCTGACAGGTCATATTACAGCTAAAAGACAAGAGAGAAAAACATCAATTTCAGGCTGAGTGTTTTTGGTTTTAGTTCAGTTTAGATAGTTTTAAGGCAGGATTTTTAGCTTTTCGGTTCAGTTTTTGTTAGTTTTAGTTTATATACCCCCTCTCCCTAAAAAATCTGAACCTTTAATGATTTGGCCCCTCAGCATCACATTGTGTAAAGTTCCAGGACTCTGAAAAGACTAAGAACCACATTTTGTGGCCAGTTAACAGCTTTGATGATGATTTTACCCTCTTTAACCGCATTAGTAAATAACTTTAGATATTTTTGAATCTTGAATCAACACCTTGAATGTGGCCCCTATACTTTGTCATAGTGCTACAACAAGAATGAAATTATAAATGCTATTTAGGCCACCCCAAAACTATCAGTACCCAGGCTGATCAGACACACCCCTGCTGGCCCTGCGTACGATATTTCAGCTCAGCAACAGATGGATTCATACTAATCAGAGGACTCTGATAATGAAATAGAGGGATATACATTAAAGGACAGGGACCTGACTGGCAGGTAAAAGTTACAACAACTTGTTAGGGATGTTTGTTCATGTAGAGCGCCACCATGTCTCCGTTAAAGTCAGTGTGGATCACCAATTGCGATCCCTCTTCCTCTTGCAACTATTTTATCACCATATCAGTGAAAAATGCCTCAAACACAAACTCCTTCTTCACACCCTGAGTGTGTGACGCAGTTCATATGAAAGCCCTCCTACAGCAAAGCTGCCGAAGGCAAAAGACATGACTTTTCATTTGGAGGTATGAAGTGTCTCATGACTTACTAGGTGCCGTAAAACCCTGGGTCACACAGGCACTCTCCGGTGACAACATGACAGATGCCGTTGAAGCAGTGGCTGCAGTTGTTCTCGCAGTTCTCGCCGTATGTGCCGTTGGGGCAGCGTACCTCGCACCTATCACACAGGAAAGGAATGCGGTGATTACAGTCATTTTCAGGCTGAGTGGAATGAGCCACAGACATTATCACAGTGTGGGAAAAATGCATTTGAGGGGCTACTCGTTAAAGCAAAACACAGTATAATGTTCAGCTTTGCAGATTCTGTTTTTTTTTTTCTTTTTTTTTTCTTTACCTGTCCCCAATCCATCCTGGGTTACAGTGGGAGCATTTGCCCTGGATAGCATCACAGTGGTGGCCATCTTTGCAGGTGGGACACACCTCCTGGCAGTTTTCGCCAAAGAAGCCTTTGGAGCAGAGCTGGTCACAGCGTGTCCCATTCCAGCCTCTGTCGCAGGTGATGCAGCGCCCCTCTGTCACCTTGCAGGGCTGCTGGCCTTTGCAGTGCCCACATCTGTGTTCAATCAGGGATAAGTGGAGTAGAAATCAGGATCTAAATCCTCCCTATTGGAAAGAGTCTGTATTTGTATGCTGAACCCTGTTTTCCCTAATTGTGGTTTAAAGATGGAGATAAGGAGCATTGAACTTTGTTTCTCCTCAGTTTATAGCAACAGCGTCCTCTGAGATCAGCACAACCCGTGGAAGGTGAAACACTTAACCTGAATTGCTTTTTCATGTTGGCTGATGATTATGGGATAATGTGGATACCAACTCCCAAATCTGACTGTATTATTGCTCCATTAAGAAACATGTTCAGATATTTTATGGGTTATCACCTGCAGCATATATCAAATCTTATTTCCTATCAAACCACAAAACCGCACTATAATGCGGATCAGACAGAGGAGCTGAACATTAGACATCTGTTAAAACTGCATGTTTCCTCTGTGTTTGAAATAGTACATTTGCTCTCTGCCAAGTTTTCTTCCCCCACCTGTTCCTGCAGTTCTGACCGTAGAACCCTGCAGGACACGGCTCCCTGCAGAACTTCCCACGGTATCCCGGTGTGCAGGTACATGAGCCATCCGCCTGGTTGCACTTGCCGTGGATGCACTGGCAGTATCGCTCACAGCGCGGGCCCCACAGCTTTTCCCGGCACTGGCAGCGTCCTGTAAACTGGTCGCACGGTGAGTTGTTACAGTTGCACTGAATTGCGCAGTTCCTCCCCGTCCAGCCAGGGTTGCACTGGCACCGACCGGTCATGGGATCGCAGATGGAGTTGATGCTGCAGTAGCAGTTGTTGTTGCACTGCGGGCCCCAGACGCCAGGGTGGCATGTGCATTTGCCCGTCTCCTGGTCACACTTGCCCTTCTGGCACATGCAGGCATTCTCGCAGTTTGGTCCCCAACGGTTGTGATTGCAGGTGCACTGGCCGGTCTCATCATGACAATGACCGTTGGGGTAACAGTTGCATTTCCCTCTGCAGTCATGGCCCCAGAACTGGGTAGGACACTCTGTTCAAACATAGGACAGTCATTAAGTATTGGAAAACAAACATTCCTGAACAAAAGGAAAGAGCCATGTCCGGGGTTGTAACACAGGCTGTATAAAATAAGTATATGTTGCAACCACGTAGTGCCACATTGCAGACAACAGTTTTGCAACTTTGAGTGCCAGGGGTGGATCTAAGGGGTAGCTAGGGGTGACCACGGCCCTTTATAAAAACTGGTTGGCCACCCAAGAATCTTAAACCTGACTGGCTTTGTACATCATTAGAGAAGTGACATATAGTGTATGTGTATGATTTAGAGTGTGTTTCAAAAAGGCTGCCATCAGCTCTCTTTGCGTTTCAATGCTGCATTTATTCTTGTCTTAAAACATTAAACAGATAAGAAGATAGGAAATGCCATTTCTGTTCAGTTTGGCCAATGAGGTCTGGATCTGCCCCTGGAGAGTTTGTCATTTTGATCAACCTTATTTTTAAGACCAAATGTGAACCATGCAGATTTGAATAACAGCTTGGACTCAATTTGCTGCAACTCTGTCTTCTGCTGTGGCGATGTATTGTCAAGAAAAGAGTTTGCCATATCTTCAAGTACATGTTGCTTAATCGTTGGTCTCACTCTGAAGAGGACCATTATTTTCATAATAAGCATTACGGTCTTTGAGGGGAAACACAAAACTAGCGTTGGGCCATTTCTTGAAAATGTTTCAAACCATCAAGATTCTTATTTGCAATCATGAAACTGCCCTTTATCTAAAAAATATGGGCCATTTGAGAGAGCTGAGATACATCAGCGCTTTCAGGTTTAGACATCACAGCAGCATATTTGTCTCTGACACTGTTGTATTATACTGATACTGACCATAATGGCATTCAAAATCAATGAAATATTAATGTTGTGCTAAAAATAGACATACAGTAATACTGTGAGCTCACAGTAGTGGTCTTTTATCCCGGTTGATACAAGCCATACAACAGAGGAGACAAAAAGGTAACTGCAGCTGCTAGCTCCTTGTATTAGCCCTTTAAGAGATAATTTAACGCTTTTATAAACTGACAATCAAATATTTATTGTGACAATCTTAGAAGAAAGGCCTCTTTAGGTTACCAATCAGTGAAATATTTATATTTTCCCGCTGTTTTTCTACTGTTTTCATCCGATTCTGCAACTTACTACCCACCTGAAGTTGTAGTCCTCAAAATAAGAGCACAGTTTTATAGTGCAAGGAATGAAGCAATTGAAAAAGAAAATATCAAACTAAAAGCATGACAAACATTATTTAAGGGTTATATCTTCTGAGTAGAAGTTTTGATCACAGGGCCGATGATGTGGATAAAACATGAATTGGAACATCATTAAAAATGAATGTTAACATGGAAGCTAAGTTTGTGTTCGTAAAGTTTAAGTAATATGTTGCTTTACCTTTTTCTTGTGTTGTTTTACTTGCAAGTTGTCATAATCTATTTGAGTGTGTTCATAAACATGTGTAAGCAAGCTAGCACAGAAACACCACTAAAGCTGAATTAAGTATTAGGCCCAAAGAAAAGTGGTAAAATGTCAAAATGTGCACATATTATTCTGAAAATCAAAGCAGTTCACAGAGAATAAAGCCCAGAATTGGCAATGTAGTTAGTTTTTATCCACTGGTTATTTCCAGATACTACAGGTGCACAATTTCCTAGCAATCTCTCCAATTCTTGTCAAAATTTCTCAGCCTGGAGGGAAGCAGCGGACACTGGATGGAGCAACACTGTGGTCCCCAAAGCTGCTTGCAGAGCTAAAACCCTCAAAAGCAGAAACACATTTGCTGCTGATAAATTGGTATTTTCAAGGTGGAACATTTTCTACTCGTTTGACCTTTTGAAGAAATCTTGGAAAAACTTTTGAAAAATCACTTACTGGTCTCACAGTTGGCTCCAAAGTAACCAGGACGACAGCGGCATTCATTCGGCCTGACACACACCTCTTTCTCCTTGCAGGTGAAGTTGCCTTCACAGAGAGCTTGGATAAACAAGATAAACAAGCCACATTATACAACCGGGTTCACAGTGAGCTGTCAACATGTGTGTATGTGTGTGTGTGTGTGTGTGGGGGGGGGGGGTACATACGTGTCAGGCATTCATCCCCTAGCTGCCCCCATCCACTGCAGCACACAAATCCTGGTGATCTAAAAAAAAAGAGTTACAAGACTCTGAGTTAGAGGGTAATGATGAAGAACTGGGATAAAATACAGTAAAACAAACACATCTCGAAGCTGCAGCATCCACACCCAACCGGAGCTGCTTTGATCTGAAAGTTTTCATTGATGTGGCTCAGATCTGCAAACGTATGCAGGGCTATGTACAGCGCATGTTGCATATGTTTAGCACATGCCTGAATAATTACATGAATAATAGCCTCCCCCATCTGTATAGCCTCTTAACCCCCGAATCTGCTTTGTTTATCAGTTTCTTTAGCTCCCCTCAGCCTTTGGGGATTTACAGAAGTAGGACAGTGAAAATTCAGAGACCGTAATTCTGTAGCCAAGTTTTTGGGCCTGTCAGGAAAAGGACGAATGCGTCTACACTTCCTCCCACGCCTGTGACCTCCGCGGGGCCCCCTGCAACACGTCAGCTTCCTTTAGAGCGTTTGAAGATAGCAGCTTGCTTTCTGTCAATGAGCGGGGATCTGCGCTGTTTTTTATCCTGCCAGAGTCGGCGCGTGGAGGAGATCGCAGGTCTAACCTCGGTGTACCTTCGCTCTTAATGAGAGAAAGATGTTTCATCTGAAATTGTGCGCGTGCTAAATATGACACCAGGTTCATTTTTATTCAGCTGTGCTGCCCCAGCCCACATGTGTACAGTTGACCCTCATCGACCTCACAAAGGCAGTACAGGCGTTCATGTTGTGCAGTTGGGTTGTTTTTTTATTGCTGCACTCCTGTTGGCCTTTCATTACTGCACAAAAATATGTACCGACCACCTTTGCCAAACACTCCAATAGCTGTTTTTCACGAATTCAAAAACACATTTTCCAAACCCAAGCGCTGAAATCACTCAACTTGGAATAATAAAAACATAATGGGTATAATATGAAAAACAAGTGAGTTCACTGTGATGAATGGCAAACACTCTTACAGGGGGGTAGAATGTCAAACTCGCAGAGTGCAAATACACATGGAAACTTTACAAAGCACTGTGATTTTAGGATAAGCAACACTTTTTTGTCCAATGACGTCAAAAAGAACAATAACATGAAACCAGGTCAGAATCTTAACTTTTTCAGCCTCTCGGATAAGCCAAAAAGGTCAAGAAGTGTCTAGGTAACTGTGAAACTGTGAGTGATAATCTTTTATCCCTCATCCCTCAACGAGCCCAAGATTACATCGTTTGTATCCTGCCAAACACAATTTCCAGATTCAAAGACATCCGTCCAACAAGCTTGGACGCTACAGTTAGCAATTATGGACTTTGGTGTTTTCTTTCACACCACGCGCGGCTTGAATCCCAGAGGTCATCGAGAAATGTTTTTTAGGTACCTTAACTTTTTTTTAAAGCTCCTGTGAGGACATTTTGTGTTGGTTTTGGTGCCCTCTTTGGACAAAAATCTCAGCTAATTTTGCTGTATGTGTAATGGGTGTCATTTAGCTCCATTTTCTTACAGTCAAGTCCAGCACTTGATAAAGATTTGTGCTTTTAAAACACCTTAAATTATTGGTTTGACACCCACCATTTGCCACTGGTTTCAAATTAACACAATTACCATAGTCACTCCTCTTATTGATGGTCTTGTTTGCTTTTTTATGTCATAATGTGCAATCAATCTAATTTAAAGTCTATTTCACAACCAGCTCAAAACTCCACAGTAGAGCTTCAATCTCCCTGCCTGACACCTACCCCCGGGTAGCACTTTCAAGCATGAAAACCCCCTTTAAGGAAATAATATCTCTTCTTATAGATTGCATGAATTGCTTTGTGGGTCACAAAAAAAGTCATAGATTTTCATTTCAATCCATTTCATAACCAGCTGAAAACTTCTCACAGGAGCTTTAATCTAAGTGTTGGATACATAAACCTTGGTGGTATTTTCACACATCAAAAATAGCCATATAGATATAGGTGCACTTTATTATGATGGTCTTCTTTGCCTTTGTTGGTTAAAAAAAAAAAAAAAATCTGTCTCAATTTCAGTCTTTTTACAACTTGCTTGAAACTACTTAGAGGAGCTTTAATCTTGGAGTCTCACACCCACCCCATCAGGATAATAACTCTTTATGCTGATGGTCTTGTTGCCCTCTGTGGGTCGTAGAGTAGCCTTCATTTTCTGATTTTAATTGTTGTCTTTTTATAACCAACCGAAATCTCCTCATAGGAGCTTGAAACTTTTTAAAACTTTACAAAACTTGCACAGCGAACCTAAATGCGTTATCAAACAGTAACACAAGTGCTATTAAGGTCAAGGAGGGCGCCCCCTACAGAGAGATGTAAACACTTTTGTTCCAGATGCACACATCTGTAATAGCCTACTGAACTCCTCCTTCTCCTCCTGCGGAACAGAGAACTGGAAACACGTTACATATCGAAAACACGCAAATTAGCGCAAAATAAAGTCATGCAATGACAAAATGAAGATTTCTTCTAAGAACTGTGTTTAAAAGTAATAAAAAAACCTGAACAGTTCGCTCATTTAACCAAGTTTCGACTTCGCTCGCTGTTGTGTGAACCGCTATTCGATCACAGGGCCAACACTGCAAAAAATGTCACTATTTTGAAGCTGTAAAAAGTTCTGCTCCAATTTAAAAGTAATAACTTTTCAGGTTATGAACATGTAATACTAGGGAAACTATCAAACGTGCACCTCATAAACGGTTTTAACTCTGAATGGTCCTATTTTGACTAAAAGTTGCTTCACAGATGGGGCATGTAAGAGAGAATGAGGCAAGATACGTCACAAGTAAAAAGTTACGAAGAACAACTTTTTCGCATTTATGAGCAGTGTGTTACGTTACATTTTTTTCTGTTTTGGTTCTTACCCAGGCGTCTTGCACACATTCCTGCCTTTAGGGTTGAGTTCTTGGCTGAAAGTGGAGCAAAAGAAGAGACAAACCACCGCAACAACAGCAAAAGAGTTCTTCACTTCCATTGTACAAGCAGCAGCATCCTTCTAGACGCCGTTTTCTCTCCGCATTCCCCCGCTCCTAAAGCCACGATGTTTGTTATCCGCTGACTTTTGAACTCTCCGAAATGTTTTCCTTGGAATAATCTACAGCTTAAGCATCCAAAAAATATTTAAATCCGTGTCTAGAAAGATGGTTTCAAAGTCTTGCAACCACCTACGCCATCCAGAGACTCAGCAGCAAAAAAGTGATCAGCGACACATAGTAGTATCCAAACCGAACAGCTGAAAGACTCATAAAAACCAAGCTTGCAGTTTTCTTGATGGACGCTGTTCTCCTGAAGTTGGTCGTTTATTCCAGCAAAGTTTCTTAAAAATAAGCAAGCACGCAGGGCTGATGGATCCAGACTCGTGATAAAAGTAAAACAACTTTTCCAATTATTTATCCTCTACGTGTCTGGAAATGCGCTGAACGATGGGAATCTTGACACAAAATAAGGACAAATGAGCTGCCTTTCGCTTTCCTCTCTGAGGAACAGCGCTTAATCCCCAACTTTTGTCCTCTCTTGCGCTCTCAGGAGTGGCAGGAGGGAAATTCCTGATTTGTTACTCTATCTTTGGCTCAGTGCGCCATGCGTGCGCCACCAAATTTACATGGGCCTGCGCGCAACAGGCTGTTTGAATGGCCTTGGTTGCACGAAGACGTCCTGCAGTTTATACCGTCGCTTTGAAAATCGAGATGCTCACGTAAAAACGGCACAATGCGCCACGCATATTCAAAGTGATATTTTACCAGAATCATTTATAATAAGAGGAAGAATTTTTCAGGGGTAACCCACTTACAATTACTTATTTGAGTCTGTGGAGCAGTTTTCTTTATTGATGGATGGGGAGAGATGGGGCCTCAGAGTGTGGGGGCTTGAGGGGGCAGCAGCGTAATGACTTCATGTTAGACAATGGCTCCCCCATCTGTTAACACGGACGAAGTAATTTTGGCATATGGCACCTCCTGCTGTAAACAAATGGAGAAGCAAGGTCTCTGAGCCACTTAAAGCTGGAGCCGAGAGGAAAATAATGATATGGATGCATTTTAATATCCAGGCTATTCCAGCTGCACAGTGCAAACACACAAATGTTTCCTCTTATCAGCTGTGGGTTTAGTAGGTCTGCAGTGGTCTATGAAGGGCTTCAGGTTCAACATCAACTTATTTATTATCCTTCTGCAAGTTGTTATGACAAGTTGGTGATTTATCGCCACTAACATAATCAGTCTGCAGCTAATGCCAGTATGTAAACAAAACCTACAGCCAGGAGTCAGCATGGAAACTACAAGGACCCTGAGATGTTTGATATTTCGACAGAGGAGAACTGATTCAAGACGCATTATGAGGCTAACTTAAATAGCTGTTCTCAACCAGATCCTGGCTCTGTCTTATTTGTCAGAGACTGGACTAAAACAAAATAAAAAGTGCTTGAACATCTTTCTAAGTCAATAAAAGTGAACAATTTATAATGAATAAATTCTGCAATATCTCACAGTTAAAACTTTTGTTGACATGCTCCCTTGCTCACCCCTCCTGCCACTGAAGGTCCTGTGATGCCTGATTATCCATTTGCCAAGTTGTAAACAAAAAAGATTTCATATTGAAGGATTTATACACTAATTTGACATAATTACAAATATTTTAGATTTCTATCAAGTGTGTTCAGTTAAATGCCGACAACAATCACGCATTGCACCTTTATAAGGATATCCCGGTGTCAAATTAAGTAAGGGTCAAACACACCGTAACAACGAGTTAGACACTCTCTTCCAGCAGCTGCTTGTTTGTAATGAGACCTCGGGCGAGTCCATCAACTGCCGCGGGGGACACAGCTCAAGGAAGAACATTTATGATCATTTCCTCATGGAAATTCATCAGACCGAGACGCTAAGGCAGAAGAACTACCACATCTGCAGAGCAAAATGACTAATATGATGATTATTATTTCAAGGAAATGATAAAGTAATGATCATAAATGTTCTTCCTTGAGCTGCTTCCCCCCGCTGCAGTCGATGGACTCACCCAAGGTCTCGCTACAAACAAGCGGCTGCTAGAAGAGAGGGGGTGAGTTGTGTTTAGTCTCTTTGCTAAAGAAATCAGGCAAAGCTAAAAAGATGTTTGATGGCTAGTACTATGGCTGGGACCCTATATGTACTGTTGATGAAGTTAGGTGCTGTTCTGAGCATTATTTGTGGCTATAGAGTGGCGTTCTGGTTGAGCTCTTGGCTCTCTGTATTGCAGTCATGCAGTTGATACTAAAGTTGGTAGAACTAGCAAAGCAAGCGGTCAGCAACATTCATCTCTCATCAGGGAGTCTAACTCAGTGTCACGGTGTGTTTGACCCTAACTTAATTTTACGCCGGAACTTTACTTGTACTTTAATTTCAAAAGTCAAGTAACTCAAGAAAAGTCTCTCTCCACCCTTGGTAGGTATAAAAAGTTATGCCAGTACAGATGGATGTTCAGCTGATACCCATGTTACAGTCAGCGCCCTGTCTGTTGACAGTGTAGCGTGCTGAGGTGGCACTGACAGATGGTCTGTTAACCTCCCCTCTCTCTGCAGACACTCACCTGCTCTCCACACTGATGTTTCCTGTCAGAGTTGTGCCATCTCTGACACAGCAGTGGGCAAGTGTTCTCCTCCAAAGGGCCTCTTTCCAGATGAAGATGGCGGTCCACCTTTGCCTTTTCACCACTGATCAAGGCAGGAGCAGCGGGGCGTTGTTGACAACCTTGGTGGAGCGGCACATGGTTCAGAGCAGGCGGAATGTCCCTGACAGCCAGAGTGACTTCTATCACCTGGTGGTTGAAAAGAATAGAGGTCTCGAAGGGCCACTGTATCTGTAAATTGACTTTTAAAATTGTTTGAGTCTTTTGAGGGACTTTTTAGGGACAAAAAAACAAACAAACAAACAAACAAACAAAAACAAATTATTCAATAGTTGGGGAGACTGGGGACAACTGAATATGTCTTATTTCTGATATAGTAATTCTAAAACAACTGTCCCCAATAAAATCTATTACTGTATAGATACAATAGAGCATAAAAGATCATCTTATTACCAAGTAGTCACCTCCGATGCTAAAACTGCAGTTTCCTGAGTGTCCACTAGAGGCTGTCTGCAGAAGTGCCAGAAACCACAAACACATTACGCTAAAAAAAAAAAAAAAAAAAAAAAATCAATTTTCAGAACAAAAATAAGCACGTTTACAGCCCGGTTCAAAAAAGGTTTAGGTCTGAGTAGCCTGAGGTCTTTTATTAAAAATAAAAGTCACCACTTTGAAAGTGAGAAGTCTTTATTTAAGTCCAATTATACCTGGTCCACTTCCCATTAGGGATGCGCTGGAAATTTTTGGCCAAAATTGGCCCAAAAGTGCATTTTTTGGTTTTTAGCCTTTTATTCCCGAAACAACACGGCCAAAACAGATGTTGGGATGATGCAAGCAAACACCATAGCCAGCACATGCTGGTCTGGATAAGAGCCAACATTTTTGCGGTGTGGATGAGTTTCAATATATCTGAGAACCAGCATCATAATGCTAAAATTTCAAGAGGGGAGTGCATCTGCAAAGAGTTTCTTCACATTTTATTTATCACCTGAAATCCAAACATCCTGATCATCATTCTGAGTATGAGAAGAACACAGCACAGAAAAGGAAAATCCCTCTGAGCACACCCACTTTGTCTGTAGCGGATGTTGCAGCCAAATACACAGGCAAACGCTGGGGGAGGTTTCACGGTTGCAGTTGCAGAAAATAATATTAATTTAATATTTTGATATTGATTAATATTAATGTATGCAATTGCAATGCCTTGATTTTAGTGAGGTTAGTACATAGTCATAGCCACAAATGCAATGGTTCTAACAATTGGCATTATAACCTCGTTTGGTTTTTCCATTTCAGCCAAGAATTTTCATTTCGGTGCATCCCTACTTTACATTGTTGTAAAAACTGGCATGTAAAATCAAAACAACCTAGAATGATGTTATTGTACAGTGTACCTTTAATATTTGCTGCTCAATTAAGGCCATGTCTGAAATACAGTGTAGAGAAAATTGTTGTTTTATGTGTCTTCTTGCAGATTTAATCATAAATACTCTACTCGGCTGTATGCTGCAACTTTAAAGGTCTCTTATTGTGCTGCTAACAGTAAACAGAACCTGCCAACCTACATGTTACCTTGTTTAAACCATTAGAGCTGCTCTCCAGACTGATCTGAAACACCCACCTCTAACAACACAACCTGTTTTTCTAAGCATTAGAGTGAGCCTCTCTGCGCACCTCAGTACCTCAGCTGAACTTCATGTCAGATCATACTGTGATGTAAATATTCATCCACCTTGCACAGGACTCACTTTTCTTTCAGAGGTGCAGTTTTAATCTTCCCACACATCAGGTTTTTATTCAATCAGTGAATTTAACAGAAAGCTTGGCTGGGTTTGAGAAAGAAAAAGTGGAATGGTAATCTTGTTATGGATTCCTCTTTGGCTCTCAGAAGTGGCTGGAGTGTTTCAGTCTTTGTCCTCATTTGGTCTTCAATGCCATTTAGTTTGAAGCTCTAAGATAATAATGTTATTTTAATTCCTTTGCTTTTGAATGATCAACTAGGTAATATTGATCTTTTTCTATACAGACTCCTGGTTGATACCCGAAGGACTATTATTCTTGCTGTCCTTTAAACTGGCCCCAGCTTTTTGCAGGTAAATGCATCACGCCAAGACTCACAATCACAGTGAGAGCCAAGAGTCACAGTGATCACAGTGACTCTCGCCATATGCATACAATGCTACTGCTTAAGTGGTGGTTCCAGGAAGTGGAGAAAATCCCAGAAATACAGCGAGCAATTCTTCAAATTTGTATAATGACGGAAGGCGGAGCCAAGTTGTCCATAGTATGTACAGTCTATGGTATTGACATATTTAAGATTAAAAGCTAACAAAGGATTTCTTGTTCATCAAAAGGTGTGGCCGTGACAGCATATCATGAAACAGGAAGTTGCTGTTACTCCTTTAAATAGGGTTTAATCTGTTTGATATTTTACAAATATGATCAAAGTCCACGCCTTTGTGGATCTATGTGTTCGTTTTTCAAGTACAGTTACTGAGCCACCCTGTAGAAATACATGATACTGCCTTCCAAATACAATATCCAATCACTGCCATTTTTCAAAGGTTTGATGATGCTCCCAGCCTGAACTGACCGATATATGCTTGACATAGTATTTACGCCACCTTTTGGCTAAAAGTGGTATTTACTCTGATATGCCCTATTGAATGAGCCTCTCATCTTTGTGCATTTATGAATACTCCGTCCATGCAGATTCCTCACAATCATAACTAAGTTATGCTCCCACTACTGGTAAGAGCTATTGCATAACTGTTAAATGTGCTTTAAATTAAACATGCATGCAGGCAGTTTCAGCTTTAACAGGCCTACATATACTTTTGGATCTCGGTGAGAGCACAAGCTAAGGGTGCACAGTTGCAGCTGCTGCATAAGCCCATCTGGTATTTGGTGTAAGGGGCCAGCACATCAACACTTCCGGCTGTAATTTGGTATCTTTAAAAATCAGCCTGTCTTTTTCCATTGACATTATTGTTAAGAAACAAGCCAAATGGCATGTGAATTAAATTAAGAAAATTAGTCATGTATAACAAGTACATTACACACCTGTCAAAAAGCAGAACTGGTGATAATGTCTCTCCATAATGGATCTAGGTCAGAGGATACTTAAACAGAAAGCTTTCAAAAAGCTGATGAAAATGACATTTTATGGCCACTTTAAAGCTAGTGAGGACAACATAGCCATCAGACTGCTGATCCAGAAGAATCAGGCCTTCGGCGAAAGCTCTGTCCTTAACTACATTGTGGAAAAAGATTCCGGCCTAAAGGAGGCCAGCCAGAGAGAGAGCATAACAGTGGCTGTACTACCACTTATTTCAGCGGCGCCTGCATGAAATACTGTCGGAACATCCACTTTTTAACGTGGAGATGCATTGTAGTCACATCGTAGAATGTGTGATTTCAAGCAAATTAACCCACTGTCTTTCAAAAATTAAAAGGCTTACATTCTGCAAGAGCACCACCTGAAAAGTCTGTCGTTAAAGTGTACTTAACTTTCATGTAATCATCCATATCAGTTGAGGTTCAAATGTATGGTTTATTATCACTGGCTGTGTGATCGAAACTTCTCTTAAGAAGAAACTGTCTTTTGTCATGCTTTCATTTTGATGCATCTTGCCTTATTTTTGGCACTGTAAAACCATGCTTTTATTTTGAAGTGTACTACTCCCAGCATTTTAAGAGTCATAAGACTCAAAAAACAGGTTAAGTTACGTATATTTAATCGTTTTCCCTGATGGTCTGGCTTGCTTTTGTGGATCATTCACAGAATGGAGGCACTGGTATTAGTACCAGGATGTTCTATAATTAAAACTCCCTACATTACATTCAACTGGACAGCAGCACAAACCTTATGTAAGCAGTTTCTCAGCTGACCTAGGAAGAAGCAATCTTATTTAAGTTTTGTGCCTGGGCATTCATGCGGTATGAGTTAATGAGGACACCTCACAGTCCAAATTGAAAATTGAACTATTTGGCTCATTAAGGGACAGCTTCATAGTCAAATAAGTGAATGAAACTGCTAAAGGATAAGTAATTCAATGCCTTTTCGCTGGAGTGAAAAGTAAAATGTTCTTGTCAGATTTATTCAGTGTGAGTCTAATACTCAGCCCCGTAAGCTTGGGCCTTTTATCTCTTATTTCTGGGTTTATAAAGGTCAGATGTAGTGGACAGACAAGACTATTAGGCGGCTTATTTGAGAGTTTAAGTATTAAGGTTTTATGATGTAGTCACAGCTGACTGCAGTGTCAGCCTCTGCCTGACACAATGCCCTCTATTATTGTTTTCTTCTGTTATCACTCTGCAAGGCGATACAACTCCCAGGTAAGTCCTTTGCGATGACTTATTGAGCTCCTTTAAATCAGTATGTTTCTTTTTCCATTTGCACCACATGACTGGTACAAGATATCTCTGCTCTCTCTCTTTCTCTCACTCTCACTATATATGTATATATACATTTATATATATATATATATATATATATATATATATATATATATATATATATATATATATATATATATATATATATATAGATAGATAGATAGATAGATATATAGATATATAGATAGATATATGTACACTTAGAGTGACAGAAAGAGAGAGAGAGAGAGAGAGAGAGAGAGTCACCTGGATGTCTTCTTGGGCGTATCTAAAGAAGTATCAAACCTCATTCTTGAAATCTTTTGTTTGGTGAGCACACCTTCAAACTGTAAAGCAAAAGGACAAGGCACATTAAGCCAGCTTGATCTGAGGCAGGAGGCTCTGACAGGCACTCCTGTCAGGACAGCAACAACAACATTACTCAGTTCATTGAAACAGAAAGAAGATAGGAGGAAAAACAGGCAAGGTCTGCTTGATGTTGGGAGCGTTATAATTACACTGCCAGGCTTCAGCTGCATTGAGCCAATGTAAATTAAGAATATCTACGCCCGATTTTCAATTCAATGTTGGCCAGTTCTACCATTTTTGTGAAAGAGCTGCCAGAAAGCAGTATTTATGCCAGCTGCCATAATCTATTAGAATTTGTTTTCACACTCAGAGATAACCAATAATCAGTAGTCTTAGCAAAATTTGAATTTTTGGCAGTGCAACACAGAAAGCATCTGATTATAAATCATAATACAGTTAAACCTTCATCTGGAATAGAATGAAATGCCACTGAAAACCCAAGCAATCCAATGCTACAGCAATGGTCTCAGTCTTGCAAAACTCCAGAGAAAGACTGTCTGGAGATTACCACTCTCCACTTTCATGATATTTTGTCACTCATCTACCTTTCTTTTTCCTTCAGTTCTGCTTAAAAACACCCAAATTTGATGGTCTTAACATGCCCCCACACCCACCAAACATTGCACACACACACATCAGACCTAACTAATTAACCTGCTGTGTGATAGCAAATGACAACTCACCAATACCTGTCAGCCAATACTAACCCCATGGTGCCCCAGTGTGCTGTGGACCGCCACAAACAAACGAATGTGTGGGGGAAAAAAATAAGATCATTTTTTAAGGTGTGGGGGCTTTTCTTTTGCACCGCAATCAATTACATGTAGAGGAAACCCTGCGGCATATGGTTTGTCCCAGATTTTACAGGACTGATGATCAACCCACGTTAAATTTATCAATGCTTATATTTTTGCCTTCTATAGCTTTCAAGATCATCGGCAAATTACACTAACTTTTCATTGTGTACTGTTTCACTGATGTTGTTTTATACAGCATTAGTTCCTGTATGCTGACAGTCTTGGCCTGCACAAGTTCAAGCATGTAACTCACCAACCAGCAGCAGCCTCTTTACACCTTACGGTTGTAGCATGTGCAGAGGTGCTGTTCATCGCTGATTCTGGCTTTAATTAAATTTATATGTTTTAAACTTAAGTGTCTGTTCAATTTCAACAGCTTCCTTCAGTTTTCTGCTTTAAATTCAACCGTCCCTGTCACCGATTTCTAGCTTGCCTTGTGTTACGTCATCTGTTTGGTTACATGAGCTCCCCGGTGGCCTGTTATGGCGAGGGCAGCAGGTCAAGTGTGGTGTGATGCCACAACTGCCCTCTCTAGAGAGGGAGCAGGCTGTCAGTGCTGTTGGGCAAGTATCACATCGGGTCACTTAATATAATGTCAGCTTCTGGCATGCCAATGCCACTAGGCCAAAATGTTTATAGCAAAAAATACAAGCTCCCAAAGTGAACCCAAAGATGCAAGACATCTGCTCTAGTCAGATGAGGTTAGATTTCTAACACTGCTTGAAAACACTGAATATGAACATAATATTTTACTGTCGTATTTCTGCTAATTTCATTCATTTGCATGTTCTGCAGAGGAACAGAAGATAGGTAAGGTGCCTTGTTTTGTTCTTATTTATGGACATAATACATGATGTAATTAGAAGTAATGAGCATGCAAATTAGTTTCCACCTCCAGGCAAGAACCACGGAGAGAAATGTTACAAAGCTCACAAACAGTTCAGGGAATATCGCAGGGGTGAGACTGGAGCCGCAACAATTTTGACAGTAATGAAGCCAAATGTGACCAGAATATGGACTCCTTCATCAAACACATTTGCTAAGAAAAGTGTGGACTGTATTGTTTAAGACGTGGATGTCCTTTCTCCATGTTGAAGTGAAGCCAATGCAGAAACACCTTCAAACTGCACTTTTTATTAAAGGCTGGGGGGGGGACTCCAATAATTGCAAAATGTCACGTCAGTGAGTGGAAGCAGATGGAAAATTTGGCTTGCATTTTGTATATTCACCTCCTTAGGTTATCATTTTCTAATGCGTGATCTCAATCTGACTTCTAGGTGTCAATACTACAGGCTGTTAAACTGCCCTTAAAATGGATGTCCCAAGGCGACCTCTGCTTTTGATATGCATGAAGAACTGATGAAAAGGTCAATGCATTAATCTAGCAGAAACTCCTGCTGTAAATTGACATCATACTATCCTTTAAGCTCCAGTTCATTTAAGTGCAGGTGAAATGGCAACAGTTTTTTAATTCCTGGTGGCACAGCAAGGGTTAGACGGCGCAGAGGTGTTGGAGATGAAATGACTGCAGGTGGAGTTTTTCTATCTCCTGTTCTTGTGGTGAACTTTAATTACAGCAGTACATGGAAAAGCTCCACAAGAAGTTACATCCAATGTTATAGGTCATCTTCACACTGCTATTTCCTAGACTGCAGGAGGATATTGCTACACAGGGTGCTTCACAGTGCTTATGATCTTTTCGTCCATCTAGGAATTCCTGAGCATGCAGAGTGCAAAAGGTGACCTCTACGGCTGGTTTAGTGGAAGGAAAGAGGAACCTCCTGAGTCAGCTTGAACACAGACAGGAAGTGTCTCAACATTATCTGTAAATGTCCGTGTTCTCTTTCAAATGTCAGGACGGTTCATGGGCAGAGTCATTCAGTAGTAGGCTAAAGTAGTACACTGCAACATCTGGGGTATAAACCACACTCTGATAAGGGATGCAGCAGGGATGTTTTGGGGGGTCTGTTGGTGGGGAAAAACGGTTTTAATTGCTTAATTCAGACCACAACATGACGATTTTGTGCAGCTGTGTAGCTAATACCACCTGCGTAGTTTGCAAAACCCCAAGCTACTGTTACCACATGGTGTACCCAGCCGTTAACTGAGAAGACTTCAGTTAATAGAAAAGTCCTCTCAGTTAAATTGGCACTCGTTAGCTTAGTAGTATACCACTGGTTTCTAATAATGTAAGGTTATGACCAAATAAGGAGGAAAAGTGTTTAAAGCTGGCACAATCATCACTGTGTATCATGGCACGCTAACTGGCCACATGCATCCTAACTGCCATCTTCTGGGTAAAACACTTCATTACAATCAAATATCTTTCTTTGCATTTTATACTAGTATGTTGGATGCACCAGCGTATATGATGCTGCTCACTTTTTTGATTAAATATGGAGCTAAAAGTGTGCTTTAAGCATAGTATTTCCATGCGAATGAGTCTTCAAGTAATGGAGCGGTAGTAGTTGGAAACTTTTTGTAATTTGGACACATTACATGGTTTGAATTTGACTTTGAATTGCTGAGGTAAAGTTAAGCTTAAGTAAACACTATCTGGGTTTTTATTTTATTGATTTTGGTTAAAACTCTGTTGTTGTCTTCATGCTGGAGACCAGAAAATATTTTGGTTGTAGAGCAGAAAACCGTATGGTCCAATCTTGTCATAAGAAAAGTGGAGCAGGTCAGCAAGATCCTGCCACTGCCTCCTTCACACTCAACCATGAAGAGCCGCAGCAGCCCATCTGCGCAAAGGAAATATGGAAGCTGAGGAAAACATTCTCAGGGTTATAATTCATTGTTTATGGTTATAATTCATGGTTTGCACCACCTCTAAGATCATTTGAAGTTTTTGATTGTGAAGCGGAAAATCATCTGGTCCAATAATGGGAAACACAGTACGAAGACGCTCCTGCTTGCTGGGTTAAAGGCAAGCTGAGGTGAACGCTGGTGGGGTTTTTATTAATTGTTTATGCTTTAAATATATTGTGTTAGTCAGGTGAAATGGTGTGGGTGAGAAGGTGAGTGGCAGAGTTTTAATTGTATTTTAATTTATTGACCATTTTGGAGGGTGAACCAAACAAGATACTACTGCAGTAATTGATTCTGGATGTGACAAAAGTGTGGATCAAAGTTCCAGCGGCAGAGAGAGAATGTTGTTTTATTTTGAGGTTTTCAGTAACATATTGTAATAGAGGCATTACCATGATATGTTGTGGCCCCTGTAAATGTGGGGTTAAAGTCTGATACCATGACAATACACACACGATATATCTTAATCCATGTTGTGATTTAATTTGGATTTACCTTACCCTATGGGAATAAAACTTGCCGATTTGTAACTTTGCAGCAGTATTCTGTGTAAAGTAGATGTAGTAAAATGGAGTTTGAAGGCTACATCAGCTTCACCTAACTACTTGAACTTGAACTTTATTTAGGAATAATCCCAATGGGTTAACAGGACACCAAAAAATACCATTACAGGACTTTAAATATTTCAAATTATTATAAATGGTCATAAAGTTGCATGTTTTTTTTTGTACAGCTAGCTTTGAAACATTATACTCTGCCTTGTCTTCCAAGCTTTGCAGATAAAATCTGCGACAAAAAAAGGTTCTCTGTCTGAAACACAACTCAAGTTTTTCATAACTATCCGAACAAAAGAAATCTACATCAATGGAATACATTCTTTGAACGAAAACATCCTTTAAACTGGACAGTGAAATAGAAAATGAAGCTCCATACTATTTTAGTGGAACTATTACAAATAAATCTACAAGGACATGCTCGGGTCGAGAGTGACTGAAAAGTAAAGAGACACGACCTTGATGCTGTTAAATCTCCGACTCAGCAGCAGGCTGCGGCTGGAACGCCGAGCCTTTGAATCCTCTGCCTTGACAGAACCGCTGGCATGCTCCACTGGAACAGCTTAATAGATGACAGAACAAATACATCAGTGCCGCAGCTCGTCCCAAACACAGAGGTTAGTGACCCAGGAAACTGAAAGAGAGAGGCAATCACTGGTCAAAGGTAGTTAAAAATAATCAGAGAATCTTTCAACCAAATTCAAAGCCTGATGGAGAAAATTTAGAGTTATGAGGCAGAAGGAGATTTTAAGTATCAGAACTAAAAGGAGAGTTACAAACATAACTCTTTGGTTCTAAGACGATATATCAAATGTTTCAACTAAAAAAAAATTTTTAAAAATCAGTGCCAGACAAAAAGTTGGGATTGGGACAATGAAACACATAAAAGTTGTCCTTCACACCAACACCATATCAACATGCCATTTTTACCCTCAGCATCTCTGGATTTTTAATGTGATTCACAGCTTTACAGTGGCCATCCTGAGATCCACATCACAGTGTTTGACGGGCTCTTTGAATTGAAGTTCTGACAGATTCTGACCTTACTGATTTACGCCTTTACAGGTTACAGACTACTGTCCCGCTCCAGGGTGCTGTGCTGTTACAAATTTCTTCAAGTCCTGGATTAATGCGAGCTCTAAGAAACCACCCCTGTGGAGATCAATACACTTAGCACAAAGGCCACCCTCAAGTGTACCATTAGATTTGAAGTAAACATCAATGTAGAACAGACACAATTTTGGCTGCTGTGTTAAAGCAGGGGGTGGGAATGCAGGGCCGGCTGGTGGATGTTGGTGGTCCTAAGTAAGATTTTGCTTGGTGGCCCTCCAAAACACTCCCTGCTCAACCCCTAAACAAAACGCATGCATGTACACATATAGAAATAAAAGTATAAATCTTTCAAAATAAATTGAACACAGAAAGGTATTGTACAAAACAAAGCAAACTTTTCTTTTCTTTTTTTTTTTTTTGGGGGGGGGGGGGGGTCAAGCAAACCTGATCAACTAACCGGGTGCACCGAGGACTGCGTCTGTCAAATGAGCAAAACAGCGCAGACAATTGATTTTGCGTGTTTGCTTTCATGAATATGCATAATTTATGTAGATCATCAGAACACGAAAATTCTGGGAGGAGCAGATGCAAAGGGAATCACTTAGCACCTACACTGTGATTTATCAAACCGATTGCAGTCACTGTTTTGCGTCTATATTTAGCACGTTTGAGAGGCACGTGCAAACTGGAGCAGCATTACACATTACATTGTGGGGAGAAGGATGCAGAAGTGCCATGATAGACGCCATGATCCTTGTCCAAAAGCTTGTGATTTATTACGTTTTTCTGGTAAATGACGATTTTCATAAATAAAAAGGTCAAACACGGAACAGATGAAAAAAATTACCTGTTTGTCATTGATTTTAAATAGTTTTAATCCCTTTTTTGATTTCTAGTATATTTTCTTGCATCTGTAAGCACTTTGAATTGCCTTGTGTATGTACAACTTTTTTTCCTTTTATTTAGAAGGGATAGCGCATATTAATGAACATATACATGTGAATATGCCAGAATTAGCCAAAGGATGCTCTAAAGAGGATGGTCTGCACCAATTTTGCTCCCGCTATCAATTGTGCACACAATGATAGTAGATCCTCTGCAACACGCCCACTAACAGCATGTGCAATTTTCAGTTTGCACACACAATTTAGCACTCGCTATTTTCAATCTTAGTAGATCAGGCCCTAAAAGGCTTACTTGCTTATGAGAAAGAATTGTTTCTCTACCAATCCCCTCTACCAATCCTACACATGAAGTTCTTTGATATGTTATGGTGAATCCTTAAGTAGAGAATAATATAGTTATTTCACAACTCTTCCAAAGTCAACAGCCCAGATAAACAGCCTTTGTTGAGTATCACTTGACAAAGACACAGTAAAACAACCCTTTAAGAGGTTGGATGCTGGAAACACACTCAGCATTGATCTGTATTTTCACAACTTTGCATCTGAGTGAAAACAAAGTTATTTCTGTGAGCCTCTCTCATTCAGTATGAATGAGCTGAGTCTTTCACCCGCAGAGAACAAGGTGTACTCTGCTCAACTGCTGGGCATGTGTGATCAAATCAGCTCCCCATTGGGTGAGAAACACACAAATGCACTCTCTCACACAACCTGCAATGAGTCGGCACCTGGTGTTCCCGCCCTACATAAGGATGATTTGACAGTTTAAGTTCAGCCTCTGCAGGATCTGTATTCAGCACCCTCCTCCTAATGCTCAGCTGCATCTTTTAAAAGCTCAGAGCGACACACATACGCCCCGCAGTCCACTCTCTCTCTGGATGGAGAGCAGATGTAGAAGTCAGTCTGCAGCTCGTAGCGTGACATATAGACTGCGACACCTCCGTATTGACAAGCTGTCTCAGCAAAGCGTCGCTGCTGGCTCTCGACACTTTGTTTGTCAGTCAGAGGCAGGCGCGGCGGCGGCGGCAGGCAGTTGTCTGTCAATGTGGAGCTGAAGTTGAAACAGTCTTGACCAGTATTGATGCAAACAGACACACGTGTTACTTTGAGGTTTTCTCCGGGGATAGAGCAGTCAGGGCCGTGTGCAAGGATCTCCGAACAATAAAGACGCTGTTACGTGTAATGAACCAACAGGAGCTGAGATCTTTGTTCTCTGGCTGCTACTTCTTCTGCCATCAATCTTTAATGTTTAGAAGACGCTGAGCAATTACAGGTGAGTAAAAGACACTGATAACAATGAGTCTGATAAACCCTGGCTTGAAACACGGTCCCAGAATGTGAGCCTGAGAGAGGACAGCAGGGAGGTGAGCAGAAGCTTAAGACCGTCCCCTGTTCCGACAAATGACGCATCAGACTCACATACATGCACAGCAGCCATATCCTTCACTGACAATAAAAGCCTCCCAACACATTCAAACAAACAGAGAAGTGCAGCAAAACCAGACAAAACAAGAGTGTGACTGAGGCAAGAAAATACTTTTGTTGCACACTCGATGCTGGCCCTTTACCCCCCAATTTCTACCGCATCCGGAACTGTTACGAAAAGGTTGTATCCCCCGATCATAACTGATCATAACCATTCAAGCTAATGTGTCAATTTCCACTGGCTTCTTTCCATTTCGCTGTGGATCGCCAGACTCCGCAATTGATCGCAAGAGTTCTGTTTTTTCCAGATGCCACAGAATGCCAGATAAATTCAGGACAGATTAACCTGTACTGGAAAGGAAGTCGGGCACAGAAACAAAATAAAACATCCGGCTTTTTTTTCAAATAAAACACTCCATGTTTCAGACAGATCATATTTCACACCATGCAAACGGGTGAGGACGAACAAGTCCAAGATTATAGACTGCATTTCATCCTGATGACACCATGGATGGGAGGATGCTGATTTTATAAGTCAAGAAGTAGATTTCCTCCTCTGAAGGGATACAATCTACTGCTTATATGGTTAGCCTACGTGGTTGTCTTTATAGAGACAACTTGTTATCGCTTGATTGCACGTGAATCCACGGGTTCCTTTGAGTTCTCGTGATTCCTGCTGTCCATAACCCGCCACAAAATTGGCCTCACAAACGGATCCGGCAGGAATTGGCAAACGGCAAAAATTGCTGCCGTTCCAGATCAGAGCCATTCTGGATGTGGTGATAATTGGGGGGTTAGATCTCCTGCTTGCTGAGGTCTGAGGAGCCGTTTTTGCAGGGGAAGCAGTCCGGTAGTATTAAATACTGTTGATTACTGTCCTTCTTTGCTCTAGAGAAAATACAAAAAGACCAGCAAACCCAGTGAAAATAGCCTCACACCCGAGCTACAGCGGGTCTGTGCCACGTTTCTAGACCGAGCGATCAGTGTACCAACTCCAGCTGGAGAAGAAGCCAACAGGAAAAAATTGTGGTGTTCAAGTCAGCTTGTTATTTTCTGCAATGCACTGAAGTGTCCCTGACAAGACATGTTCTGGTTTTTAAGTGTTTAAGCCAAGTTTGACTTAGAGACTACTACTTCTGCAAACTGAGAAAATCAAGCATCACTACCTGCGTACAGTGAGATGGATTCAGATTTAAATGGATTAATTAATGTTACTTTGCTTCACATATGCTCTTGCGTCTAAGTTTGTATTGAACATGACACTCCTCTGTCTGTATGGAATATGCTGTAACAAACGTGAATGTGATACCAAAAAGCCATTTATCACTTTGGCTGGTAAAAAGTTGGATTGCCCGGTGGATTTTGTACACCCACCACCTTGACCCACGAGTCAAAAAGTTTATTTTGGACCCCGCATATCCCGCCATATTGTGCCTGTCCTCTTGTATCCTCTCATCTGACCCACTTCTCTCACAGGTCAGCCCGACTTCCCGGTCTATAAGTCCGTCCCACAAGGGTCAGTGAATGGGGTGATGCCCTACCTGTCTCGCAGAGCCCAGGAGAGGCTAGGCTACGTGAAGGGTGCCCAAAAAAAGAGAGGAGGCTGCTGTGGCAGGAGCTGAAATGCAGACTTGCCTCTGGGGAGCCTCTCTGCAGGCCGGTGTGCTGAAAACAGAGAAGAAGAGACAAAGAGGAGAGGGTGTCAACTTGTCGAGTTTTTCTATGGTTTTTCATCTTTTCTGCTTGACGGCTGCTGCTGTGGCTGTCTGTTTCGTCTCTCTCTCTGTACAGCTCTCTCTGCATGTAGCTCTCCCTGTTCTGCGCTGTCCTGGAGTTTTCTTGCTGATGGACTTTTTCTGCTTGTCGCTCTCTTTTTCTTGTCTTCCCACTGCTGTTTTTCTTCACTCTTCTGTTACCCGTCCTCACCCCTACCCTTTCCTCTGTGTTCAGACCTTGTGTTTCTTTTTGCTTGTCCGCCTCTGCATTCGTGAGCACCCCTCGGTTTTTCTACAGAGCTCTGGTATCCATCATGTGGGCATCTTTACTGCTCCAAAAGGACTCCCTAAAATGTCAACGGGACCGAAGCGGGCATTTTTTTTTTCTTTTTTTTTCTTTTTATCACCCCATTTATCTTAGAGAGGGACAACAATAATAAAAATAACAGCTTTGATTTAAATCGTAGTAAAGGAAACATTAATATTCTCCTCCTATATTATATTTTCTGACTCCTGGACAGCCTTGCCTTCCCCAGAGGAGACTTCTCTGTATTGTAGATATATTTGTGCTGCTGTGTTTGAGGTTGTATAGCAGGCTGTGAAAATGAAACCTGTTTATGAATCAATGAGAAAGTATAAACGGCTTCACACAGCACTCCCCTCTCCTTTGAAGGGTGCAAAGCTTTTGTTATTGTATTTACTGGAGGAAGCTATATTCTGGGTCACTGAGGTGTTACAAGAAAGCGTAGAGCAGTCAGTGTTCAGTGAGTGAATCTTCCTTTAAACACAGCTGCCTGCAAGCCTGGAGAATGTCTTTGTCATATACAGGATGAAATATGATGGAATAAAAATAACTTACCGTGTTTTTGATGCATTTGTGCTGCGCTCTAATGCAAATTAGAGTCAGACTGAGTCGCCATTTGGCCAATTAATTGCTTTTTTTAAATAATAAGCATTGCAGAATCAGTGTAACGATCATCGTCTTCTATCCCCAATGACAGCAAATCAAATCTAAAACTCTTACTGGCAAGTGTTTTTATAAATCCTGTTCAGATATATGGAATAATGCAGTTTAATATTGCCTATTGCCTCTATCAGTTATGATCTGGAACCTATTACATAACTTAATGTATTTTTCCATCTGAAACATGTCACCAGCTCAGATAACCATGTCTGTTAAAAGAGCAATGTGTATAGAATAATGGATTTATATTTGACTTCTATAATGTCAACTTTACATATTTATCTTGAATTATCTTTCCATGTTCAAAAGGACAGATAGATGAACGGTGCTGATAGTTACTGAGCTAAATATGTACCCTCCTCAATGTTTATTCAAAGCTCCTGCGAGGGACTTTTGCCTTTACCACTCTTATAAGTATGTTCTAACCTGAGATTTTCACCGTAACCGGAACGGCAGCGATTTTCGCCGTAGGCCAATTCTTACTGGATCCGTATGTGAGGCGAATTTCGTGTCGGATTACGGACAGCAGGAATCGCGAGAACTCACAAAAACCCGCAGATTCATGTGAAATCACACAATAACTAGTTGTTTTTAGCCACATAGGCTAACCATAGAAGCAGTAGATTGTGTCCTTCCAGAGGAGGAAATCTACTTCTCGACTTATAAAATCAGCATCTCCTCATCCATGGTGTCATCAGGATGAAATGCTGTCATAAACCTTTCACTTGTTCGTCCTCGCCCGTTTGCATGGTGTGAAATAAGATCCGCCTGAAACATGGAGTGTTTAATTTTGAAAAGAAGACGGATGTTTTATTTTGTGTCTGTGCCCGACTTCCTTTCCAGCACAGGTTAATCTGTGCTGAATTTATCTGGCATGCTCCGGCGTCAGGAAAATATAGAACTCATGCGATCAGCTGTGGAGTCCGGCAATCCACAGCGGAACAGAAAGAAGCCAGTGGAAATTGACACATTGACTTGAATGGGTATGATCAGCTATTATCAGTGGAAATTGGGGGTAAGTAGGTAATCAGGGCCTGAGCACCAAGCGGTGCAAGGACCTAATGGGAATTCCTAAGACTTTTGTTAGTTTAACCTTTGGTGTGGCTATTGTTGCTATTTCCAGGTCCTTAACATACTCAAAATTTCAGGAAAGTTAGCAGACGTACCAGGTCTGATGAAGAACTTAATATTACACAGGTGACAAATATGGACACTTTTTGAAGATGAAGTTTTTCCTCACCTTTTTACCCAGCAAGAGTAATATTTCTGCACAAATCCTGCTTGAGACTTGAAAAAGTCACTAACGTCATTGTAAGCAGATTGGATGGATGCTGTATGAGAAGAAAGTTGTCCAAGGACCTTTGAAAATGACCCAAAACAGGTGATTTTTGCAATTTTTCCCTAATACACAAATTCCCTGACATTTGAGGATTAAGTTTACAGGTAGAGGAGACCTTAACCTGAAGACATTCATGTGGTAATATTTCATCCCTGTAATAGCGCCTCCAGGTGGCAGGAGGAAAAGTCATGCTGTCATTTTAAGAGCTGAGGATCCCAGACCATTGAACATATCCGCCCCATTTCTCCTCCAGATATCCTTAAGATGTAGATGGTGATTTGTTGTATACGCTCTGAGATGAGCGACCATAACTCAGCCTCACATAAACATATCTGCATGTTATTCACTGTGTGTATGAGGGGTCCCAGCCTGAATACGTCCATCTTAGAAAATGTTAAATCTATGAACTTGCCCTATGAATAAATTTTCTCTGTCCACACAGGAAAAGTCTCCTTCAGAGTTTTTTTTTAGAAGGAGACATTAATGTTATTGACTGCAGCGCTGCAGCTGTGAGCTATCTCCTCCAGCCCGCCTTGTTTTGGGTTTTAATTCTCTGACATCTTCCGCTTGGTTATTGATACACAATTAGTATTTGAGTCAGAGGGTAACCAGGCGTCATGATAATTACGGCCTTGTCATTTTATGAGAGCAGTCAGCGCTCTGTAGACCATCATTTAATTACCCATGATGCTACGCTCAATACAGATCACAGAAATTGGAAGCATTAATCATTACTCAGAAGAAACTTTAGTGGCTGTTAAGTTTTACTGAGGCGGAGCGCCACAGAGCTGTCACTGCTGCTGTATTCTATCGGTTTAATTAAGTCTACTTTTGATGTAAGACGTGCCTTTGGGTATACATTTGCCAACAAATCCCTCCTCATGCAGCGCTTCGGTTTCCCTGGCTAGCTTTAGTTGCACAGATAATTTAGAGGACACATTATAGAATGAAAAATTCCACACAAGATCCAAGACAAGTCAAAGCCAGCGTGGGCTCAGAGAAGTCTTTGGGACTCATCAAGACTTCTCCCTATATTAAAGCACACAGGCATGTAATGGAGTCAGCCAGGGCTAATTTACTCTAAGTAATGACTGTTGGCTTTGTGTTATGCAAGATGTGAAGGATGGCATACGTAACAGATCTCTTCAGGCTCCTCTGAAGTCAGTCCCACGTGGTCCGACGTTTTGGATAGCATGTTCGGCATTTCAATGGGCTGCACATCTTTACATATATTCTTTAAAGTGCAAACACATTGGCTGTGAATATGTGATTAATTTGAAACATACTGAGCTTTTGTGTTTCAGGTTTAGGAATTTGAACAGATTAGTTTTTTTTCCTCTGTTGCACAATAGATGGATTGACTCACCGCAGGCACTTAATCTCTAATCAGCCTTTGTGTGCCAGTAGATGAACTGACAGTTAGAAGAACTGGGCTCTGAGCCGCCCAGAAGTATTGTGTATTTTTGTCTTTTGACAGCAAAAAGAGAGATTACTGGCTTATGGGCCACGATACAAAAAAACGGGGCCCTCGCAGAGTCAATTCAACAGCTGTAATCATACCCTCAGTGATGATGTTATCACTTTGTTTCACACCAGGAAGGCTGATAACACTGAGAGAAATCATTTCATAACAGACTGAAGATTGATTCATAAGAAATAAAAGTCCTGGAGTCTGAATGTGCAGTATTCAGTGAGTTACCAATCTGGAAGATTTAAATTGAAGATTTCTACTCAGGTGAACAACAGGTAAGAAGTCTCTCAGTATACAGTATTACTAAAGATTTGTGCTCAATAACTGTGTCTGATCCAGCTGCTATTTTTTTTTTAAAGTTTAAAAACATTTTAGCTTAATCCAAGAGACATTAATACGATCTTCACTATCAGACACCAGACTGTATTTCCTCACATTGCAACATGATCGCAGCATCAATTCTACATGGACGCTCAGAATGACAAGCACAGTATAACTAAAGTATATTGGCATCGCTGAAATGTGCTGCAAGACACGCTGTCAATATTTTATAACAACATCTGAGGCTAAGTTGGCTCAAATGTCTAACAAGGAGGAAGGGTTGTTAACTTCCTGTGAGACACTGACATTTTCTTGTAAAATAATTGGCACTTCACAATAAGGTGAGCAGAATATCCAGAGTGATAACCAACAGCAGACGAATACAGAAGAAACTCTAATTTATAAACGGGCCTGCGAATGTGTAGTTTAGTCTGTATAAGGTTGCAGATACATATTTGTCAACACATGCAGAGGCCCCTCGTATGCAGGTAAAACAGAAACAGTTTAACCAGTTGGACAATATACAGCTTTTTTCCAGATATTTTGCATGCTGTCAGTGAGTAAACAGTTCACCATATTAGGCAAGGCAGGTGTATATATACAACGCATTGGTGCAGCAAGGTAATTTAAAGTGCTTAACACAGGACATACTGAAAGAAAATACTTACTGACCTTTAATTTGTCCCGTTAGGCCCCAAAACAACTACCTTAAGTGTTATCTTTGTTAAACCGAGGACAGTTCTGACAAATCCACTCAGAGGTTTGTTTAAGGTATTTACTCAGGGCCTGCACAAGTGCTCACCTGGTTATAATTTTATCATGTATTTCTGTGTGTAGTCTGCATAACTAGTTTTTGTTTAGTTCTTTCTACAATATTAGCCAATGGGAGTATGAAGATGTTAAACAGAGCAACCTTTTAATAAGCAAACATCACATTATATTTTTTTTAGTAAGAACAATAAACTTAATTGGCATAAGGTCTGACAACGACAGAAAAAAACAAACAAACAAAACAACATTCTTATCTGCCAAAACTGCAAAGAAGCGAAACTGGATAAATAGATATCAAACAGACGCTGGGCTGTCGTCCGTCCATCCATCCACTTTCTACCGCTTATCCCGTTGGGGGTCATAGGGGGACTGGAGCCTTTCCCAGCGTCTTGGGGCAAGGCAGGGGACATTCTGGACAAGTCACCAGTTCATCGCAGAGCTGACATATAGAGACGAACAACCATTCACACTCAAATTCACACCTACAGGCAATTTGAAAGTGACCAATCAACCTACCCCAGTTCTGCATGTTTTTGGGATGTGGAAGGAAACTGGAGTACAAAGAGTAAACCCACGCAGACACAGGGAGAACATGCAAACTCCACAAAGAAATGCCCTGACCTGGATTTGAACACAGGACCTTCTTGCTGTGAGGTGATTGTGCTAACCACTGTATCACTGTGCCACCCCACCAGGCAGTCACCTTTTTAAAACAAAAGTGTTAATTCAATATCATTATTCAAAGTACATCTCTTTAGCAACTTGTTAATGCATTTTGTCAGCAGTTTTTAGATGTACACTACAAGCCAAAAGTTTAGAGGCAAGGCCATTACAGGCCGAACAGTTTGGAGTAACTTCAAGTTTTTGTTCACAATGCTTTTTTTTAAATCCAACATGAGTTTTATGTATTTTGGGATGTATTTACTCCATGATCAGATGTTGCTTTCTTGGAAATGCACCATTTTTCTCCATTCACCTTTAGATATACATTGATGTTAACAGACCATTGCTAAATATATGTCAGCAGAAGATAATCAGGGCTAATTCTTAGGGTTGAAAACATTTGCAAGAGTCCCAACTTCAGTGCAAAAGCAAAAAAAAAAACAAGTCACAGTTGGATTATTCACTTCAACTTTTGGCTTTTGAGAGTCTGCATACAGAAATCCTAATAAATCTCAACTGCGTTCAAACTACCACAAAAATGGCTAAAAAGAAGCAACTGAGTAAAGAAACAAAAGTACAGATTTGTACATTGAGGAAAGAAGGATACACAGAAAGAGAAATTGCAAAACGCCTAAAGGTGTTTAACAAAGGAGTCCACTACACTCTGAAGAGACTAGAGGAACCTGGAAGTTATGATGATAGAAAAAGACCTGGACGAAAGAGAGTTACTACAAAAGCAAAGGTTAAACATAGCATTGTCACCAGTAAGAGAGATCGGTGAAAGACAGCAGCACAAATAAGGGAGGAAATCAACATGACAAGGTCGAAACCCATATCTCTGACAACCATGAAATGACGTTTGAGAAAGGCTGGTCTGAAGGGTTGTGTATCTGCAAAAAAACACTGCTTCATCCACAGAACAAGAAAAAGAGATATGAGTGGGCAAAAGCTCACAAAAAATTGGACTTATGATGACTAGAAACAAGTTTGCACTGTTTGGTTCAAAACGCAGAGTCTATGTCTGCAGACAAACTGGTGAACGTCTGAAAGCGCCATGTGTTACACCCACAATTCAGCAAGGAGGTGGTAGTTCCATGGTATGGGGATGTTTTGCAGGTGATGGAGTAGCCATTTGTTTGAAGTAAAGGGTATCATGAAGAAGGAACAGTACCACTCCATCCTCCAGCACCATGCTGTTCCATCTGGACTCAAACTTGTGGCTCATAAGTTTGTTTTGCATCAAGACAATGACCCTAAGCACTCTGCCAAGCTCTGTCAGGGTTACCAAGACAAAAAAGAAGAGAGAGGTGTTCTTCAAAATATGGTTTGGCCCTCTCAGTCTCCAGACCTTTCTCCAATTGAGCTTGTGCGGGATGAACTGGATC